TAAAATTGCCAAGATCAGCATAGCATAAAAAAGTAAGTAGTTCAACCTTTGCGAGAGTGACAATAGACCTATTCGGCCTAACTCAATGTTGTACCCAATTCAAATCTCGAAGTGAATTCTTTTGTGTATTGCATTTGCATTTACAATGTAGCATTCACATTTAAATGATATGGACATTCCGAAACAAAACGTTTTATTCCCAAAGGGGTTTGAATTGAGTACAACATTGAGTTGGCCGAATGTTCTATATGCTATCAACTGATTATTGAAATGAAACCCTGCGACTCTTTTTGTTTCATACCTTTTGGTTTGTTATTTGTTTTTCAACTATTTTACAGTTAAAAACTCAAAAAGATAACAACATATTAAGTGGTTAAAAGTAAACCAATCTTGGCCTCCAGAGCGTCTACAGCCAATGATATCACAGGCCATTTTGCATGATGGCGTCATTTTTACTAAGACCAGAATCTCTTCGCTTTCTATTCATATTAAAATTTCGTCAACCCAGCAAGTTTAAATAACAAAAGCCTTAATTTGCAGGAAAGCAAAACCCTACGGAGGATTCTCGTCGTAGTAGTAGAATGACATCATTGTGCAAATGGCCTATAACAGCATGAGCCCAAAATTAAAGTGTGACGCTTTTGATTTATTCATATTCTTTTTGTACAGATTTAATCCAATCAGAAGCCAGCTGGAAACTGTCCTCGACTTCTGATTGGTTAATGTCTGCATGAAAGAATGTGAGTTAATTAAAGGAGGTCGCACTATTGGGCTTCTAGCTGTAACAAACAACCACTAACATTGTTAAATTAAGTGCAACACCATCAACTGATAATATCCGCGTCACTTTGACTCTGAAGATGACTTACACAAAAGCTGTCAAAATGTATAACTGTAACCAACAGTCCTCTAAAGGACCGCACTCATCCAGCTAAACAGACGAATTTTGGACTCACTTAAACACTACAATACCAGCTAAAACTTCTCCTGACTGATCTCAGACATTTCCTTTCAAAATTGGTTGAGAGAATTGGTTAAAAGATCAAGACTTTTCCTTTTGATCATTTCATTACTTCTCATAACTCATTCTCTTGATTATGAGCTGAGATTGTTAGAAAAAAAAATTGACCTAGACACTCACACTCCATTCAGCAATAACTTCTTTCCAGTGAGTAGAAGATGAAACAACCTCCAAACACTTGTCCCACAAAGCAATGGGTACATTGACCTTAAGATTGGCTCGGATCCATGTCACAAAGAGAGTCTAAGAAGATGATAAGAGTGGTTATGAAAAACACATAGAAATATCATGTCTGATTTCTACGATGATCTTACTAACAATGCACATTCATCTTACAGGGAAGTGTGATGTAGGTAAAATATGTGTCCAGTGTGTTAGCGATTAAGCTCATTACAGTGTATAAGCTAAACATAAATTGATTTCTTAAATAATACTAATTCATTCATTGCAACTTGAACATGACTCTTTGAAAGACACTGTAAATCCTCTATTAATCCCCCTCGGTGGCTTAATTATTTCAAATGTTTTTTTTGGGGGGGGGGGGGGGACTTAATAGAGAGGGGGGACTTATTTCAGAAGGGAGGGGGCTCCCAATAGAGTTACTAGAATGGGGTCTTACATTGTCCAAATCTTGGGGGTAAGAAATTTCTGGTAAGTAGGGATTTATAAATGGGAAGATTCCCAGTTAAATACATGTAATGTTACAGAAAGTGAATAAGTGGGCATTGCAAAAATTACGTTTGCCCATACATGTAAGTGACCAAAGGTGGATTTCCACTGTTGTGTAATTTAAATGAAATAGAGGTAAATGTTAAAATTGAACCTCCTTCAACATTGATGTTAATGCAAAGCCATTCATACTTTGCCTCTATGTAAATTTTACGTGCATACGCACATCAAAATTATGTGGCAATGGAAATCCACCTTAAGATGGGTTCTATAATTGGCCGCATAATAAGCTATTCACCATTTATCTATAGACCATAATGCACCTTGTTTACCCCCAAAAATGTTGCAAAACCCTCGTCTTTGATTTCTCTTGGAATGACTTAGCCTCATGGGCAGAGGTTTCTTTCTTGCATGGCTTTAGCGTTTACCAAGTCATTACATGGCTTGTCTGTCACATAGTTGGTTTGTTTTTACTCACAGGAGTAAAGAGAGAAACTCTCTGCAAGCAGTAGGAATGACTGTAATATTGAGGAGAAATTGGAAACAATGGTTACATATGTACGAAATAGATTTTTTTACCCGTCGATTGGCCATATTGAATTTATTAGATTAAAGGGTATTATGGGATGCCCAGGGGCACTTGCTCAGTATTTACACGCGCTTTTCCAAAAGAGAACTTCAATGTATATTTTTCGATCGTTATTACATCCAAAGGCGGCACAACGATCTTTTTTCTCATTACAATTTTTTCTAGAAAATTTAAAGAAAAATTATTTGAAAAGCGGCGTAAATACTGATGCAATATATGGTCGTGCTCATGCCCCTGGGCATCCCATAACTCCTTAAATCAATTAATTCAATATCGTCGTAAATATCGATGGAAGGTCTATTATGGGGATAAACAAGGTCATTATGGTCTATGTGAAAATGGTGGATAATAGGGTTCTGAGAGGACAAGCGGCACAATCCATATCCAGCAAAAATTGACCAAGTACCCCTTGGGTCTGTTATGACTTGATCTTGAGCATTGTTCTAATCTAACCTGAAGTAGGCTGCCTACAACTTGTCTAGCTATTGCCACTGCTTTGTTCTGTGACATTTCAGGAACTAACAAGTGTCTTGAAGCCTCAGAAGAGACTCAACATCTGCTCCTGTTGATCAACAATCAAAAATTCTAAGTCAGAATCATCAAAATGTATCGAGCGGTGGAACAGTTACCTCTTTCACTCTTAACAGTGGGCAATATGAAAATCGAGTTTAATTGCAAACTTTGTTAAATTTTGGTAAAAATACAGAAAAACAAATAGGCTACTGAAAGTCTCTGTATCAGTATAAATTATTAAAAAAGAGATTTTCATTATTATTGACAGGATTGTTTTGCGGTTTTTGTACCATAAAAAGCAAAAGCATACACTTTTATTTTTCGAGACCTGAACAGATGAATCAAAGTGCACCACTAATGTTTAGAGTTTTAACAGCCAGTAATAATCTGGATTAACTAACTAAAGCCTGCATGTATGAGATCACTTCATTTATTATTATTGTATTTCACTTAGAAACAGATTATTCCACAAATCGACATCTTTATAGAGGCTAAATTAAAAGTAAAATTATAATACCATGTGGTTGGTTCCATTGGCACTTCTAAAACAACACTCCGATAGAGATGGATGACACGTTTGCAGACATCAACCTTAAAGTTACAAAAACACATGTTCAAGCCAAAAAAAAATGTTACAAAATTAAAATTAAAAAGGAGAAATTTTACCTTAATTTTCTGTACATGCAGATTTTAATGAACATGACTGTATGTTTACTTAAATAACTATTAGTCACCTGTTTATCCAAATACATTTCATCCTCTTCCACAAAATACAGCTGCAGAATGTAAGATAAAAACCTCAGGTTGGCTTTGAAGACCAGCTCCGCACATCTTCCTGTGGCAGTCGAATACTTTTTGTCTTGCTCGATCTACAGCACATGAATATGACAGACTCTAATGGGACTTTGTGGACTGTACTTCTCACCATCAGTGGTCTCAACAACTCTTGGGTGGGTTCCAGCATAAATACAGGTTTATCTGCACTCTAAAAATCCCAGTAGAAAATTTACACACTTCACTATGGAATTAATTTACATTTGAATAAACTAAGTAGAGTTGAACTTCAAGCGCAAGATGGGATCATTATTCCAGATCTACATCCTAATAAACAAATGAAGACTGTCATACTTGGAATGTTAGAACCAATATGTATGTATGCACAGGCAAAAAAATACACTGGTATGAATGATCAAATTAATAAACAAAGAAATAAATTTAACCAATTCTTAATAGACAAAACAAATTACCAAGTTCATGCCCCCACAGAAACCGAACAATCACTTATTACTGTGAAACTCACAAAACCATGAACATGAAACGGAATGATGTGTTGCGAGGAAAAAATGAGTAAGGCGTGAGAAAACTAAACCACAAACAGCAACAGTAATTACATGTAGTGTGTGGTTTTGCGATTTATTACATGCCCCAGTGACCTTTATTGTGATTGGTCACTACACAATCTACATTCCTGAAGTTTTTCAGGTGTTCACGGTTTTCTAAGTTTGACAGTAAAAGCACACCAGTAAGTATATTTGCATTGCTTATACCACTAGCTCACCTTAATCCAATCATGATACACCCCCGAGTACCTGCCTTGCGGTGTTTAGATTTTTGGCTGGAAGAAGAAATCCTGAAAACAACACAAAGGTAATTAATATTTACCAAGGTCCCATTGAGTAAATGTATCTAGATTCTAGTTCTTCCTTAGTTTTCAAGGAAATGTCACAGATCAAAGTAACTTAATACATCACACAATTCACCACTTTAGAAATTAGAAGGGAACTGGAACTGAAATGTGTCCCGCAATTGTTTCTTGGATCATTACTGGGGATGCATCGTTCAGCTATTGGCCAATAATAATTATTTTTCCCTTGTCACTACTAACAATCCCAGAAGTCTTTGTGAAAGTAAACCTGGCCCAGTTTTCCTCTCATTTTTAAACTGGCAAGTTTCTCCATCCCAACTCCCTTCAAGTCTTGCTTATAAAAATTCATTGTTAAGCTTCAAAGTCAATATTCACCTGGTAGGCCCACTCTTAAGGCTTGTTTTCAAAAGTGACCGAGTAGGAGTTGGAGGCGGAGTCGTAATCAGAAGCATAAAAATTTATGATCTAGTGAAAACAGCATTCTGATTCTTCCTATTCCAAAAACAGCGTGCATGACTCTGTCCTTTACGATCAAGTGAAAACTGGGTTGTCGGAGTCACAAGCAGAAGTGGACGAACTAAACCAATCACAAAGCCAGGGAATGTGCATTGTGATTGGTTTATCCTTTCACTTTTGCTTCCAACTCCGACAATCTGGTTTTCACTAGATCATAAGCAGAATATAGCGGCGAAGTCGGGAAGCAAAGTCGGAAGGAAACAGAAACGTTCTAATTCTTCTGACTGTAATTCCGTTGGGCTTATGACTCTGCTTATGACTCAACTCCGACTCTGTCACTAGTGAAAACCAGCCTTTAAGTGTCATTAGGGGCCTTACCCAACCAACAAGATGATATTACTTTGATGTCATTAAGCACTTTGACATGATACATGTACATGGTTTCAGCCAATCCAGTTTGTCAGTTGTAGCCAAATGTTTTTTTTTGAATTGTTACTTATTGTCACTTTTTTGTGTTCATAATATCCTCTTCAGAACCTTGCATTATGAAATTTCACATATCAGTCATGTAGAGGACAGCAATGAATTTACCAAAAAAGTGCAATGCATACCCCCACTTGCACATCTCCGTAATGCACCTTATTTGCCCCCAAAATTTTTGCATAAGCATTGTTTTCAATTTCTGTTAGGACAGCTGTAATATCCAGGAGAAATGAAAAACAAAGGTTGTGCAAAATTTGGGAGGCAAATAAGATACCCGTAAAATTCGAAAATAAGCCCGGGGCTTATATTTTTCAAAGGCCCTTTTAAGGGACTTATTTTTGAGGGGCTTATATTGGCGGAGGGCTTATATTCGAGGGGCTTATCTACGGGGCGAAATTGCGTTTCAAAATCGATTGGGCTAGCCTTATAGTTGGAAGTAAATTTACTGTTTTTGCTTTGTTTTACTTTGTATTTGAGGGCAATTTTCCAAGTACAAGCCCCCGGGGGGCTTATATTTGGAGGAGCGATTTAACGGAGGGTTTTTTACGTTACCAGTTTGGGGGGCTTATATTTGGAGGGGCTTATACATGGAGGGGCTTATTTTCGGAATTTTACCATGCATTATGGGAGATGTGCAAGTGGCGTATGTGCAAAGTTGTTGTTTTGTTTATCAAACCTTTTGAAGTTGTCATTGCGATTGTCATTGCCATTATCATTGCATAAGGTCATTACATGTACCTTCCAACAACAAATGTTTTTTTTTTCACAATTGAAATCTGCCCGTAGACAATTAAAATAAATTGATAGTGACTGGCTACTGTAAGCTGCTGCTTACATGTTTAAGCCCAGGGTTTATGCATCTTTGTAAAGCCAGGGTTTGAGAGGGGCTTATAAACAGAGGGCGCTTAATAACTGAGGAGGAAAGAAAAAGCAACAGCAGCAGTGCCCGTCATACGTTTTGCATTTACCGGTTGTTACTTAAGCTTCAATCCATCATAACATATCCATTTCATTCAAAACAAGCTAGAGGGGGGCTTACAAACAGATGTATTTTTTGGTTTCATGTAGAAGGGCATGAGAAGGGACATTCTGTGGTTGTTAGTCTATTTAGGATTCAAGCCACTGAAACTAGTTTGGAGTACAAGCACAATTTTTTACAATGTAAACGTACCTGTCGTAGAACCTCATGAAGCAGTCTTATATTTGAGCGGGTAGAGAACAACACTTTTCTGATCACATCACTGGCATCATGTAAGTATTCTTTGTTGCGTGCTGGACTAAACTGAATGGCTCCACCTGATGTCGGAGGTGAACCCGGCTCACTACCTTCAGTGGATGATATTGATACTATTGATTGATTCACATTTGGCGATTCTGAGACACTGTCAGACCTCTTGAATCTAAAAGTGAAGGCAACGAACCATCTGAGGACAGAGTCTCTTGCACTGATCATTCTTTGCTCTGCTTCCCTGCCAGCACTGTTGCTCCTCTTCCGTGGAACTTGTGCAGCTGAAAGGGCAGATAGTGACAAAGTAGCAGTTATTAATTATTACATGTATGCCACTATAAATCAGGATTTAAGCCACTAAAACTAAAATTATTTTAAACATAGACAGTTATGCAGTTATCATGTCAAATGCTGTAACTGATAATCACACTGCAGCACCTTTTAAACATTTGAAGTTACCATTAATGATTTCAATAACCAACTGTATGTGGCTTGTGAACAGCAGTTGAAACTGATACTATTCAGATTGTCGCCATCATTAATTTGCGAAAAATAACTTTTGACTTCAGAGATGCAAATCTCATTATTACTGTATGTATCAAGAGATGCAACTCCCTTATATCTAAAAATACCAATTCTCTTCACACAAAGGGTCATTTCCCCTGTGTGAAATGGAACAAATTACATACACACGAAATACACAAGGTTAAGAACCAAATAATAAGGTTTCACTAGGAGCTAACTAGTATCGCTGTTTTCTTTGTGTCTTTAGTTTTATGTAATCTGTACCAGTACATGAACATGCAGAATGAGCCTGAGCTACCTAAAGCTCAAAAGCTACAGACAAGACAGAACCTATTGTGTATTCCTTTGTCTAATCACAGAGTAAGGAAAGATAAAAAATGTGGTTCCCCAGACACTTACCCAGCATGCAAAGAAAGTCGTGTCCAATAGCCTGGGGCTAGTGGATTTTGCTATCGGGCTAGTGTTTTTTGTTCTTAACTTGCCTGACGGGCAAGTGCTGTTTTTTGGGGAGGTTCAAATTACAGAAGGATTGTTATCAATCCTGCCAATCAAAAAGGGTTTTGGGGATAGTTGAAATGACTTGTGGGCTAGTACATGCTATCTACAGCTTGCCCGAATGGCAGACTGTAAAACTGATTTTCTTTGCACCCTGCACTTACCCCATGAGCAGAGGTTTATCAATCTTCCTGGATAGTGTGGAAAAGGAAGAATCAAAGGACCCCTGCTCACAGGGAACCAAACCAAAGAATTCAAACCAGAGACCATCCAGGAACAAGTCAAGTGATGTACAAGTACATTGCAGCAGAGAAACTATTATACTACATGGCAGATTGCCAGAGTAACCAAAATTCACAAGTTCTTCACAAGTATTGTAATAACTTTTACAAGTACATGTTCAAGTTCAACTTCAAGTTTATTAAGACACTTTGGATATATAATTATCATAACCATTGACCCTTGCCCATGAAATAGCCTAGCTAATCAAGACGGGAAGGAAAAGTTAAAAAAAAAAACAAAACAGGGTTGAACCTTAACAATAAAGAAAACAGATGCACGAACACCAACATATTGAATTAACAAGACAGTCATGAGTACACATATTTCAAACAGGTAAATAAAACAATGTACGAATGAAATTAAACTGAAAAATATTTAATATTAACTTTTGAGTTGTTCGCTTTTCCAGACATTGTTATAAGATTATTTCAACCCAACATCCACTCACCCTGAGGGCATGTGCATGTAAACGTAACTGTCATTACAACGTATCTTGTGAATATTTTGCAGTCAGAAATCCATCTGCCACATAACATGAGATTGCTGTGCTGAATGTAAACAGGACTTTGAGCAAGATGCCCAATGAGTTTGCTTAATTTCAGAAAGGTCTCTTATAAATCAAAGCACATGTTGTCAGACTAGCTGGCCAAGATTTGCCATTTCTCACAAGTATTGTAAGAAAAACTATCTTTTGTAAGTAACTATCGTTACATGCATTATCGTTGAAATTGTTATTATTTAACTTATAGATGGCACACTTACCTGGTGATGAATCATATAATGCTCTTGAAGGGTTAAAATCTTCAAAGATGTGCGGCAGATAGAACTTTTTAAAGTTTTCAAACAGGAAGTAGAATGCATGTTCTCTGGTTTTCTTGTCATCCCACTCGACAAGAACAAGCTAAAGATAGAGAGGAAAAATATTTATTTTCAGATAGCTGCAGAAGGAAAGTAAGACTTGTTACATCATAAGCCATCTCCCTTAACCCCAACCCACCCTATACATCTCCCCTCCTCCACCAAAGTTGAGTTATTTTGTACCTTTATTACTTCTGCCACAACCCCCTATCCCAAAACTAACTCATCTACAATTCCTCAATTATTTTGTAATTTCATTACAAACCTGGGTGCTCATACAATCCAAAACTTTGTCCAGAAAAAACTTTGTCAAGAGTTCTGGTGATGGCAATCTCTCAGTGGTGTTGGCAGGAAAGATCGGTCCTACCTCATCTTGCAAGCACCAGTCTGAAAAAAAGAAGATTTAGCAAGAATGAACTTTCACTCCAAAACCCCTGATATTAAACAGGTTGTTTAACGCCACATTTTTGCAATAATGTTCCATTGCGGATACAAGCACCAAAATCGCCAAAATGTCTCCTTAAGGTGATTCTCTGGTTTTGCACTGCATATACATGTAACATTGCAACTTCAAAGGGTGTGGTGATCTTCAACAGTTGTCTAAAAAGAAATAATTATGGCCCCTTTTGTAGTCCTACCTGTAATGCTTTTACTCGCAGTTTTGATAATTCTACCTGGCTAAACAGGTGATTCTCTGAAAACTTGCCCCAGTCCCATTGCCCAAAATAATAATTTGACGCTGAAATTGTCCCTTTGTTGTAGTTTTGCAATGAAACAAAACCCCCCTTTTTTATATGTGTTTTTTGCTCCTTGTGGTTACACAAAAAATACATGTACGATTATCTTAAGGAGAAAAAAATCTGGATCATAGTAGTAGTTGTATTTTTTTAGATATGAATGACGCAAATTTCCACATTTAGAGCCATATATCAGACAAGTACATTGTATTCTGCAACATAAGGGTTGAGATTATTTTGTGAGAACAAAACCAACCATCACTCTCTCTGTCAGATGACAAATGCAAATTGCTTGTAGAAGGGGGGCTGGTCCCTGTAGCCACTTTCATTTATTGACATAAAAAATTTCTTCAGCACCAGCTCTTGACATCTTGCTCTTCCATTCCACATTGTCAATGGGTTTGGAAAACCAGGAATCATGCATGCATACATGAGTTGACACAATTCATCTGAATTTTCCTGCAATGCCTGGAACCACAGCATAAAAAGACGGGCACCTTCGCGCCGCAACTGTGAATAAAAAAAATACAGGAAAAGAAAATATAGTAGAACCTCAATACCTTGAACTCGGATAACTCAAACTCCAGGCAAGCTCAAACTTAGTCCTATTTCCTTGGATTTCACCCCAACTTTCAGTCATATTTACACAACTGTACTCGGTTAACTCGAACTCGGATAATTCAAATTCCCTGCTAATTCAAACTAAACAAGTTTCCTTTCTCTGGATCAAAATTTCACTGAAATTTACCTCAAAAACTTGAATTATCACGATCTATGTACAATTTAAATGTACATGCAATGTATTGTTTACAGGTATAATGGCATACCTTCAGTGCATTCCCATGATGCAGAAGCTTTCTCATGATACGACCTATTTATACAGGGATCAAAAGTTATTAATAGAAGTCCTCTGATAGAGGACGTGTATGATAAAGGGTTTTTCAGCCACATTAAGAAGCCGCATAAATAAAAAGATCTATTGTTGTGTGGTACAGTACTGTACAGTAAATATAATACAATTTCACTGCAGTAGATTTGACACAGAACAGTCTTAATGCTATTAGATTCATAACAATAACTTGAAAGAAAGTTCCAGAAGCTAATACTTTACTGTTGGGGGACATGTACCGGGCAGGGGGTTCAAACTCCTGTCTCTCATACCATGCATTCCTGGCTCCTACCCCTTTTACTAGGCTTCCTCCATTTAGCCCTTTTTTTCAATTGCAAAATATTAACCATTGTTGTGTAATTTCCTCCCATTTTTCCACCTTTAAAGAACTCCCCTCTCCCTCTCACCTGTACTCCACCTGCCCTCCATTCTCTCTGATTCACACCCCCTGTCCTTCCTCCACAATAAAATTTACAGCTATAGTCTAAATTAAAAGTAAGGGTAGTGCCATTCAAGTTTTTATTTTGTGGAGATTATTTTTTTCTGCTCGTCCATTTGACCTTAAGGCAGATTTCTTTCAGATGCAGCGAGCATTAGGGTTGCAACTAGTTGTACTAAACTATCAATTACAAGGTACAAGTAAGTACACTTTTGTATGGGGCCTCGGTCCATTCTTAACGTTGCTTCCTGTTAAAAATGTAGGCTACTCCAAGTTGATGTTGGTGCCACAATACATTGCTTGAGAGAACCTTCTGACACTCAAGCAAAACAACAATATTGAGGCACCAATAATATTTTACTACTGGTAGAAATCAGTCACAGAGCTACACAGCAGAAGCTTGTACTAGTTTCTGAAGCAACTAAGACTATTGCTACTACCCCTGCATGGAATCCATTTATACAAGAATGCAATAATTACTTAACCCATTCACCCCTTAGCCACCCATGCATAACCAACTGTAGCCGCCCATAACTAAGTCCCTTGAACCACATGTGACGTCATCAGTTTTAACAGTCAAGGACAACTTATAACGTTAACACAAAAAACTCAGAGGAAAATCTTGTTCCACTAACTTCCATGTAATACTAAGATCCTAAAACTTTTCCCACCAAAATGAAGTCTAGTAAATTCCAACAGAAAACAGGGCAAGAAAACTAATTAAAATGAAAACAAAATTTTTTTTTTTTTTTAATGCACACCCCAACTTTGGAAAACTTATGAGAACTTGGGAACTACACAGTGGCTCAGCTCAAACCTTGAATCTACAGTGCACATACATGTTGACTACAACACTGCCATGTGCCCAATCATGCTAGTATAACACCACTACAGACATACAGGGTTTGTAACTGTCTGGATTCGTGTGGATGGAGCCTCAGTAAGCAAAACAATAGCCTGAGTAAACAGCCGACATTCGCGACGCGACTACTGGTTTCCCGGCGAATTGACGTCTGTGAAACAACTGCAGAAATTCTATACTGATGACCCGCCACTACCCAGATCTGGGTAGTGCTTCTGATTGGTTGAAGCAAATTTTTACTTTACTTTACTTAGACCTATGAACAATGGTGATGCGTATTCAAAGTGAGGCAGAATAAATGCTTTGTACAGTTTAATCATAGTATCTGAGGGTATAAGTTTACGAATGCGACGAAGAATTGAAACTTTTGTGTTCACTTTCCGGCAAATTTCTTTAATATGTGCTTTAAAAGAGAGTGAATTGTCGATAATTACACCAAGGAGCTTGATCTGTGGAACGTAATCCAGTTCATTGCTGTCAATAACAAAGGGCGTTGGTAGAGTTGCTCTATTGAAGACGATGGATTGAGATTTACTATGGTTGATCGCCAGGAGGTTCTTACAAAACCAGGAAACGAGTAGACCAAGGTTGTTTTGTAGATTTATTTGCAAGGTGGATGGACAAGGGCTTGAAGAATACCCCGTAGTGTCATCGGCATAGAATCTTAAGGAGCACGAAATATCTGAAAAATTCGTATCATTCATGTATATATTGAAGAGAAGGGGGCCCAAGATTGAACCTTGAGGAACTCCACACTTCATAATTTGCCAATCTGACAGGTTACCGTCTATCTTGACATGTTGCTTTCGGTCAGTCAAGTAAGAACGTAGAAGTTGTAGGGCGTCTTCAGTTACACCGTACACTGACAGCTTTGCAAGAAGCAAATTATGGTTAATAGAGTCAAATGCTTTGGAGAGGTCTAAGGTAATTGCTGCAGAGTGCTCGCTAGAGTCTAAATTCGCTCTAATGTCTTCGCATGTTTTGAGGAGGGCTGTTGTACATGAATGTCCTTTCAGAAAACCAGATAAATTTCCGCTGAGGAAGTGAAGGGAAAACTCGTATAGCTGATCAAAGATAACTCTTTCGGCTATTTTTGAAACAGCCGATAACACAGATACAGGACGGTAATTAGACTTCATAGTCTCGCTATCTTTTTTATAGATCGGAGAAATAATGGAAGTTTTCCAATTTGTAGGCCAGGAACTACCAGTGATGCATCGATTAATAAATTTTGTGAGAGAACTGAGAATTCCTGGTTCAGCAAGTTTCAATAGGCGTGGAGAGATTCCGTCAGCACCGGTGGCTTTATCAATTTTGATACTAGAAAGTATCCTCTTGATGTAGGAATCCCGAACAGGAGTAAATGAGAAGCTCATTTGTCCTTTAAATTTCTGTTCAATGGCTATAACACTGGAATGGGTCTTAAACTCTTCTGGCTGTAAGTTAGACATGTGGGTAGGCCTGGGTACTGCATGAATGAAATAATCGTTTAGAAGATTGGCGACATCAATACTGTCAGTAATGAGGCGCCCATCTTCAATCAGTTGAATATGGCTGTTACCTCTGTCCTTGCTTGGAAGCAAACAATGAAATTTCTTCCAAAATTCCCGAGGGTGTTCGGAGTTTGTGGATACATTTATGCAGTATGACTTGAGGGAAGAGCGTTTTAAAGAAGTGGCAAAGTTCCGTTGTTTCCTATAGGCCTCCCAATTTTCAGACGTTTTGTTCTTAGTAAACTTTCTGACCAAAGTGACCAAAGTGACCAAAGGTGGATTTCCACTGTTGTGTAATTTAAATGAAATAGAGGTAAATGTTAAAATTGAACCTCCTTCAACATTGATGTTAATGCAAAGCCATTCATACTTTGCCTCTATGTAAATTTTACGTGCATACGCACATCAAAATTACGTGGCAGTGGAAATCCACCTTAAGATGGGTTCTATAATTGGCCGCATAATAAGCTATTCACCATTTATCTATAGACCATAATGCACCTTGTTTACCCCCAAAAATGTTGCAAAACCCTCGTCTTTGATTTCTCTTGGAATGACTTAGCCTGCGGGCAGAGGTTTCTTTCTTGCATGGCTTTAAACGTTTACCAAGTCATTCGCATGGCTTGTCTGTCACATAGTTGGTTTGTTTACTCACAGGGAGTAAAGAGAGAAACCTCTGCAAGCAGAGTAGGAATGACTGTAATATTGAGGAGAAATTGGAAACAATGGTTACATGTACGTAAAATAGATTTTTTTTACCGATACGGTGGCCATATTGAATTTATTAGATTAAAGGAGTATTATGGGATGCCCAGGGGGCACTTGCTCAGTATTTACACGCGCTTTTCGGCCAAAAAGAGAACTTCAATGTATATTTTCGATCGTTATTACATCCAAAGACGGCACAACGATCTTTTTTCTCATTACAATTTTTTTCTAGAAAAATTTAAAGAAAAATTGGCCCGAAAAGCGCGCGTAAATACTGATGCAAGTATATGAGATCGTGCTCATGCCCCCTGGGCATCCCATGATACTCCTTAAATCCAATTAATTCAATATGGCCGTCGTATCGGTAAAAAGGTCTGTTATAGGGGGTAAACAAGGTCATTATGGTCTACGTGAAAATGGTGGATAATAGGGTTCTGAGAGGACAGCGGCACAATCCATATTCAGCAAAAATTGACCCAAGTACCCCTTGGGTCTGTTATGACTTGATCTTGAGCATTGTTCTAATCTAACCTGAAGTAGGCTGCCTACAACTTGTCTAGCTATTGCCACTGCTTTAATTTGTTCTGTGACATTTCAGGAACTAACAAGTGTCTTGAAGCCTCCAGAAGAGACTCTGACATCTGCTCCCTGTTGATCAACAATCAAAAATTCTAAATCAGAATCATCAAAAATGTATTCAACGGTAGAACAGTACCTCTCTCACTCTTAACAGTGGGCAATATGAAAATTGAATTAATTGCAAACTTTGTTAAATTTTGGTAAAATACAGAAAAACAAATAGGCTACTGAAAGTCTCTGTATCAGTATAAATTATTAAAAAGAGATTTTCATTATTATTGACAGGATTGTTTTGCGGTTTTTGTACCATAAAAAGCAAAAGCATACACTTTTATTTTTCAAGACCTGAACAGATGAATCAAAGTGCACCACTAATGTTTAGAGTTTTAACAGCCAGTAATAATCTGGATTAACTAACTAAAGCCTGCATGTATGAGATCATTTCATTTATTATTATTATTGTATTTCACTTAGAAACAGATTATTCCACAAATCGACATCTTTATAGAGTCTAAATTAAAAGTAAAATTATAATACCATGTGGTTGGTTCCATTGGCACTTCTAAACAACACTCCGATAGAGATGGATGACACGTTTGTAGACATCAACCTTAAAGTTACAAAAACACATGTTCAAGCCAAAAAGAAATGTTACAAAATTAAAATTAAAAAAGGAGAAATTTTACCTTAATTTTCTGTACATGCAGATTTTAATGAACATGACTGTATGTTTATGATATACTTAAATATAACTATTAGTCACCTGTTTATCCAAATACATTTCATCCTCTTCCACAAGAAATACAGCTGCAGAATGTAAGATAAAAAACCTCAAGTTGGCTTGAAGACCAGCTCGCACATCTTCCTGTGGCAGTCGGAATACTTTTTCTCTCGCTCGATCTACAACACATGAATATGACAGACTCCTAATGGGACTTTGTGGACTGTACTTCTCACCATCAAGTGGTCTCAACAACTCTTGGGTGGGTTCCAGCATAAATACAGGTTTATCTGCACTCTAAAAAAATCCACAGTAGAAAATTTACACACTTCGATCATTACGGAATTAATTTACATTTGAATAAACTAATTAGTAGAGTTGAACTTCGAGCGCAAGATGGGATCATTATTCCAGATCTACATCCTAATAAACAAATGAAGACTGTCATACTTGGAATGTTAGAACCAATATGTATGTATGCACAGGCAAAGAATACACTGGTATGAATGATCAAATTAATAAACAAAGAAATAAATTTAACCAATTCTTAATAGACAAACAAATTACCAAGTTCATGCCCCCACAGAAACCGAACAATCACTTATTACTGTGAAACTCACAAAACCATGAACATGAAACGGAATGATGTGTTGCGAGGAAAAAGCCAGTAAGGCGTGAGAAAACTAAACCACAAACATGAGCAACAGTAATTACATGTAGCGTGTGGTTTTGCGATTTGCTACATGCCCCAGTGACCTTTATTGTGATTGGTCACTACACAATCTACATTCCTGAAGTTTTTCAGGTGTTCATGGTTTTCTAAATTGGACAGTAAAAGCACATCAGTAAGTATATTTGCATTGCTTATACCACTAGCTCACCTTAATCCAATCATGATACACCCCGAGTACCTGCCGCACGGTGTTTAGATTTTTGGCTGGAAGAAGAAATCCCTGAAAACAACACAAAGGTAATTAATTGACCAAGGTCCCGTTGAGTAAATGTATCTAGATTCTAGTTCTTCCTTAGTTTTCAAGGAAATGTCACAAATCAAAGTAACTTAATAAATCACACAATTCACCACTTTAGAAATTAGAAGGGAACTGGAACTGAAATGTGCCCCGCAATTGTTTCTTGGATCATTACTGGGGATGCGTCGTTCAGCTATTGGCCAATAATAATTATTTTTCCCTTGTCACCACTAACAATCCCAGAAGTCTTTGTGAAAGTAAACCTGGCCCAGTTTTCCTCTCATTTTTAAACAGAAGTGGCAAGTTTCTCCACCCCAACTCCCTTCAAGTCTTCCTCATAAAAATTCATTGTTAAGCTTCAAAGTCAATATTCACCTGGTAGGCCCACTCTTAAGGCTGGTTTTCAGAAGTGACCGAGTAGGAGTTGGAGGCGGAGTCGTAATCAGAAGCATAAAAATTTATGATCTAGTGAAAACAGCATTCTGATTCTTCCGATTCCAATTAAATTACAGCATGCATGACTCTGTCCTTTACGATCAAGTGAAAACTGGGTTGTCGGAGTCACAAGCAGAAGTGGAAGAACTAAACCAATCACAAAGCCAGGGAACGTGCATTGTGATTGGTTTATCCTTCCACTTTTGCTTCCAACTCTGACAATCTGGTTTTCACTAGATCATAAGCAGAATGTAAGGGGCGAAGTTGGAAGCAAAGTCGGAAGGAAACAGAAACGTTGTAATTCTTCTGACTCTGATTTCGTCGGGCTTATGACTCTGCTTATGACTCCGACTCCGACTCTGTCACTAGTGAAAACCAGCCTTTAAGTGTCATTAGAGGCCTTACCCAACCAACAAAATGATATCACTTTGATGTCATTAAGCACTTTGACATGATACGTGTACATGGATTTCAGCCAATCCAGTTTGTCAGTTGTAGCCAAATTTTTCTCAAGTTGATCGATAATGTTACTTGTTGTCACTTTTGTGTGTTCATAATATCCTCTTCAGAACCTTGCATTATGAAATTTCAGATATCAGTCATGTAGAGGACAGCAATGAATTTACCAAAAAGTGCAATGCATACACCACTTGCACATCTCCCATAATGCACCTTATTTGCCCCCCAAAGTTTTGCATAAGCATTGTTTTCAATTTCTGTTGGGACAGCTGGAATATCCAGGAGAAATGAAAAACAAAGGTTATGCAAAATTTTGGGAGGCAAATAAGATGCATTATGGGAGATGTCCAAGTGGCGTATGTGCAAAGTTGTTATTTTGTTTATCAAACCTTTTGAAGTTGTCATTGCCATTGTCATTGCCATTATCACTGCATAAGGTCATTAATTGTACCTTCAAACAACAAATGCTTTTTTTTTTCAAAATTGAAATCTGCCCCTAGACAATTAAAATAAATTGATAGTGACTGGAGCTACTGTAAGCTGCTGCTTACATGTTCAAGCCCAGGGTTTATGCATCTTTGTAAAGCCAGGGTTTGAGAAGGGCTTATAAACAGAGGACGTTTAATAACTGAGGGGGAAAGAAAAAGCAACAGCAGCAGTGCCCGTCATACGTTTTGCATTTACCGGTTGTTACTTAAGCTTCAATCCATCATAACATATCCATTTCATTCAAAACAAGCTAGAGGGGGGCTTACAAACAGATGTATTGTTTGATTACATGTAGATAGGCAGAAGGGACAGTTTATGGTTGTTAGTCTATTTAGCCACTGAAACTAGTTTGGAGTAACAAGCACATTTTTTACAATGTAAACGTACCTGTCGTAGAACCTCATGAAGCAGTCTTCTATTTGAGCGGGTAGAGAACAACACTTTTCTGATCACATCACTGGCATCATGTAAGTATTCTTTGTTGCGTGCTGGACTAAACTGAATGGCTCCACCTGTTGTCGGAGGTGAACCCGGCTCACTACCTTCAGTGGATGATATTGATACTATTGATTGATTCACATTTGGCGATTCTGAGACACTGTCAGACCTCTTGAATCTAAAAGTGAAGGCAACGAACCATCTGAGGACAGAGTCTCTTGCACTGATCATTCTTTGCTCTGCTTCCCTGCCAGCACTGTTGCTCCTCTTCCGTGGAACTTGTGCAGCTGAAAGGCAGATAGTGACAAAGTAGCAGTTATTAATTATTACATGTATGCCACTATAAATCAGGATTTAAGCCACTGAAACTAAAATTATTCTAAACATAGACAGTTATGCAGTTATCATGTCAATTATGCTGTAACTGATAATCACACAGCAGCACCTTTTAAACATTTGAAGTTACCATTAATGATTTCAATAATCAACTGTATGTGGCTTGTGAACAGCAGTTGAAACTGATACTATTCAGATTGTCGCCATCATTAATTTGCGAAAAATAACTTTTGACTTCAGAGATGCAAATCTCATTATTACTGTACGTATCAAGAGATGTGACTCCCTTATATCTAAAAATACCAATTCTCTTCACACAAAGGGTCCTTTCCCCTGTGTGAAATGGAACAAATTACATACACACGAAATACACAAGGTTAAGAACCAAATAATAAGGTTTCACTAGGAGCTAACTAGTATCGCTGTTTTCTTTGAGTCTTAAGTTTTATGTAATCAGTGTACCAGTACATGAACATGCAGAATGAGCCTGAGCTACCTAAAGCTCAAGACAGAACCTATTGTGTATTCCTTTGTCTATATAATCACAGACTAAGGAAAGATAAAAAATGTGGTTCCCCAGACACTTACCTAGCATGCAAAGAAAGTCGTGTCCGATAGCCTGCGCGCGGGCTACTGGATTTTGCTATCGGGCTAGTGTTTTTTGTTCTTAACTTGCCTGACGGGCAAGTGCTGTTTTTTGGGGAGGTTCAAATTACAGAAGGATTGTTATCAATCCTGCCAATCAAAAAGGGTTTTGGGGATAGTTGAAATGACTTGTGGGCTAGTACATGCTATCTACAGCTTGCCCAAATGGCAGGCTGTAAAACTGATTTTCTTTGCACCCTGCACTTACCCCATGAGCAGGAGTTTATCACTCTTCCTGGATAGTGTGGAAAAGGAAGAATCAAAGGACCCCTGCTCACAGGGAACCAAACCAAAGAATTCAAACCAGAGACCATCCAGGAACAAGTCAAGTGATGTACAAGTACATAATTGCAGCAGAGAAACTATTATACTACATGGCAGATTGCCAGAGTAACCAAAATTCACAAGTTCTTCACAAGTATTGTAATAACTTTTACAAGTACATGTTCAAGTTCAACTTCAGGGTAAATAAAGCCACTTTGGATATATAATTATCATAACCATTGACCCTTGCCCATGAAATAGCCTAGCTAATCAAGACGGGAAGGAAAAGTTTAAAAAAAAAAACAACAAAACAGGGTTGAAACTTAACAATAAAGAAAACAGATGCACGAACACCAACATATTGAATTAACAAGACAGTGAGTACACATATTTCAAAATAGGTAAATAAAACAATGTATGAATGAAATTAAACTGAAAATTTAATATTTACTTTTGAGTTGTTCGCTTTTCCAGACATTATTATAAGATTATTTCAACCCAACATCCACTCGCTCAGGGGGTACGTGCACGTAAATGTAACTGTCATTACGATGTATCTTGTGAATATTTTGCAGTCAGAAATCGATCTGCCACATAAGATGAGATTGCTGTGCTGAATGTAAACGGGACTTTGCTTAATTTCAGAAAGGTCTCTTATGAATCAAAGCACATGTTGTCAGACTAGCTAGCCAAGATTTGCCATTCCTCACAAGTATTGTGAGTAAAACTATCTTTCTAGATAACTATTGTTACGTGCGTTATTGTTGAAATTGTTATTATTTAACTTATAGATGGCTAACTTACCTGGTGATGAATCATATAATGCTTTTGAAGGGTTAAAATCTTCAAAGATATGCGGCAGATAGAACCTTTTAAAGTTTTCAAACAGGAAGTAGAATGCATGTTCCCTGGTTTTCTTGTCATCCCACTCGACAAGAACAAGCTAAAGAAAGAGAGGAAAAATTTTTATTTAGCTGCAGAAGGAAAGTAAGACTTGTTACATCATAAGCCATCTCCCTTAATCCCACCCCCACCCTACCCATCCCCCCTCCTCCACCAAAGTTGAGTTATTTTGTACCTTTATTACCTCTACTGCAACCCCCTATCCCAAAACTAACTCATACAATTCCTCAATTATTTTGTAATTTCATTACAAACCTGGGTGCTCATACAATCCAAAACTTTGTCCAGAAAAAACTTTGTCAAGAGTTCTGGTGGTGGCAATCTCTCAGTGGTGTTGGCAGGAAAGATCGGTCCTACCTCATCTTGCAAGCACCAGTCTGAAAAAAAGAAGATTTAGCAAGAATGAACTTTCACATACAAGCACCAAAATCGCCAAAATGTCTCCTTAAGGTGATTCTCTGGTTTTGCACTGCATATACATGTAACATTGCAACTTCAAAGGGTGTGGTGATCTTCAACAGTTGTCTAAAAAGAGGTAATTATGGCCCCTTTTGTAGTCCTACCTGTAATGCTTTTACTTGCAGTTTTGATAATTCTTACCTGGCTAAAAAGGTGATTCTCTGAAAACTTGTCCCAGTCCCATTGCGCAAAATAATAATTTGACGTTGAAATTGTCTCTTTGTTGTAGTTTTGCAATGAAACAAGAACGGTGACCCCCCTATTTTATATGTGTTTTTTGCTCCTTGTGGTTACACAAAAAATACATGTACGATTATCTTAAGGAGAAAAAAATCTGGATCATAGTAGAAGTTGTATTTTTTTATATATGAATGACGCAAATTTCCACATTTAGAGCCATATATCAGACAAGTACATTGTATTCTGCAACATGAGGGTTGAGATTATTTTGTGAGAACCAAACCAACCATCACTCTCTTTGTCAGATGACAAATGCAAATTGCTTGTAGAGGCGGGCTGGTCCCTGTAGCCACTTTCATTTATTGACATAAAAATTTCTTCAGCACCAGCTCTTGATAGCTTTTTCTTGCTCTTCCATTCCACATTGTCAATGGGATTTGGAAAACCAGGAATCATGCATGCATACATGAGTTGACACAATTCATCTGAATTTTCCTGCAATGCCTGGAACCACAGCATAAAAAGACGGGCACCTTCGCGCCGCAACTGTGAATAAAAAAATACAGGAAAAGAAAATATAGTAGAACCTCAATACCTTGAACTCGGATAACTCAAACTCCAGGCAAGCTCAAACTTAGTCCTTATATTTCCTTGGATTTTACCCCAACTTTCAGTCATATATTTACTCGGTTAACTCGAACTCAGATAATTCAAATTCCCTGCTAATTCAAACTAAACAAGTTTCCTTTCTCTGGATCAGAATTTCACTGAAATTTACCTCAAAAACTTGAATTGTCACGATCTATGTACAATTTAAATGTACATGCATTGTTTACAGGTATAATGGCATACCTTCAGTGCATTCCCATGATGCAGAAGCTTTCTCATGATACGACCTATTTATACAGGGATCAAAAGTTATTAATAGAAGTCCTCTGATAGAGGGCGTGTATGATGAAGGGTTTTTCAGCCACATTAAGAAGCCGCATAAATAAAAAGATCTATTGTTGTGTGGTACAGTACTGTACAGTAAGTATAATACAATTTCACTGCAGTAGATTTGACACAGAACAGTCTTAATGCTATTAGATTCATAACAATAACTTGAAAGAAAGTTCCAGAAGCTAATACTTTACTGTTGGGGGGACATGTACCGGGCGCGGGGGGGTTCAAACTCCCTGTCTCTCATACCATGCATTCCTGGCTCCTACCCCTTTTACTAGGCTTCCTCCATTTAGCCCTTTTTTCAATTGCAAAATATTAACCATTGTTGTGTAATTTCCTCCCATTTTTCCACCTTTAAAGAACTCCCCTCTCCCCTCTCACCTGTACTCCACCTGCCCTCCATTCTCTCTGATTCACACCCCCCTGTCCTTCCTCCACAATAAAATTTACAGCTATAGTCTAAATTAAAAGTAAGGGTAGTGCCATTCAAGTTTTTATTTTGTGGAGATTATTTTTTTCTGCTCGTCCATTTGACCTTAAGGCAGATTTCTTTCAGATGCAGCGAGCCGCAGGTTGCAACTAGTTGTACTAAACTATCAATTACAAGGTACAAGTAAGTACACTTTTGTATGGGGCCTCGGTCCATTCTTAACGTTGCTTCCTGTTAAAAATGTAGGCTACTCCAAGTTGATGTTGGTGCCACAATACATTGCTTGAGAGAACCTTCTGACACTCAAGCAAAACAACAATATTGAGGCACCAATAATATTTTACTACTGGTAGAAATCAGTCACAGAGCTACACAGCAGAAGCTTGTACTAGTTTCTGAAGCAACTAAGACTATTGCCACTACCCCTGCATGGTATCCATTTATACAAGAATGCAATAATTACTTAACCCATTCACCCCTTAGCCACCCATGCATAACCAACTGTAGCCGCCCATAACTAAGTCCCTTGAACCACATGTGACGTCATCAGTTTTAACAGTCAAGGACAACTTATAACGTTAACACAAAAAACTCAGAGGAAAATCTTGTTCCACTAACTTCCATGTAATACTAAGATCCTAAAACTTTTCCCACCAAAATGAAGTCTAGTAAATTCCAACAGAAAACAGGGCAAGAAAACTAATTAAAATGAAAACAAAAATTTTTTTTTTTTTTAATGCACACCCCAACTTTGGAAAACTTATGAGAACTTGGGAACTACACAGTGGCTCAGCTCAAACCTTGAATCTACAGTGCACATACATGTTGACTACAACACTGCCATGTGCCCAATCATGCTAGTATAACACCACTACAGACATACAGGGTTTGTAACTGTCTGGATTCGTGTGGATGGAGCCTCAGTAAGCAAAACAATAGCCTGAGTAAACAGCCGACATTCGCGACGCGACTACTGGTTTCCCGGCGAATTGACGTCTGTGAAACAACTGCAGAAATTCTATACTGATGACTCGCCACTACCCAGATCTGGGTAGTGCTTCTGATTGGTTGAAGCAAATTTTTAACCAATTAGAAGCACTGCCAAGGTCTAGTTAATGCCCGTCATTAGTATGGAATTTCTGCGCTGTTCCTCAGACCTCATTTTGCGGGGAAACCAGTGGCATGGTGGAGTCGCGAAATATCGGCTGTTGGCTGAGGTTAGCAAAATAACACCTCTGCACGCACATTACTTTTTTTCATTTGCCGTCCTTGCAAGACTACGACGTGAAACTTTCTAATGATATTTTTTCTTAAAGTAGGACTTGAATACAACATGGACAACGGCTTTCTTCTTTCTTAATCTGGGCCGAGTTGTTCAAAGCTGGATTAAGATAACCCAGGGTTAGTGCGACATTTGAATTCAGATTTGAAAGCTTAAAAAGCATTTAAGTTCTAGATCTTTTTGTCTACAAGTTGATGATTGGAAGCTCTAAATATAACAGAGAAAATTAAAGTCGGACTTGAATACAACACGGACAACGGCTTTCTTTTTTCTTAATCTGAAGGTCTAAATATAACAGAGAAAATTATCCGAGAAAATTCTTTTGAACAAAAGAAAAAGAAATCGGGGTTAAATTTAACCCCGGGTTTTAGCGTTAATCGGCCTTCGAACAACTGGGTCCTGGGCTTTTTTTACAGTCCTTAAGAATACGACTTCAGAAAATTTGCTAGCATTTGACAAATTTTACTTGGTGGAATCACGACGTATTTTAAAACAGCTCGACTTCACTTTCTGCTTAAGCTCCCTATTTTTGACCTGCTCATTTTATTTGTGATGAAATAACAAATACGTACAAAGATCTTGCCAAGCAAAATGATATTTATTGCATTCTCTCTTTACAATTAATATAGCAAGGCAATTTTTATGATAGTCGTTTGTCTAATCTACGATTCCAGCAAAGCGTCGAGAATTTTCCAGGATGTGAGTATTCTTTACTGATGCGCGGATACTCAAAACTCAGGGTCCTCATCATCGAGGAGATCATCGTCAACATCGTCAGGTTCTCTATTAGGTAAAAAAAATAAGACAGTTATGATTATGATAAGGATTATTTAATATTATTTACTCAAGGACAAAAATGACATTTGCGTTGAGGTACTGAGAGGAAGATAAAAAATATAGTAAGAAGTATTCTGTATATAATTTTTTCAGTTTTGAAACTACAAATTATTTTTATTATCATCATCTCTTATCATCATCATCATCCTCATCCTCCTCCTTCTCATCATCATCGTCATCAAAATCATCATCATCAGTATACAAGTATTATTATCCATTTAGTTCTGGGCCCAGTTGTTCGAAGGCCGATTAGCGCTTCACCCGAGGGTTAAATTTAACCCGAGTTTCTTTTTCTTGTGTTCAAAAGCATTTTCTCGGATAATTTTCTTTGTTTTTTTAGAGCTTCCAATCATCAACTCGTAGACAAAAAGAAGTAAAACTAAAACATTTTTTAAGCTTTCAAATCTGAATTCAAATCTTGCACTAACCCAGGGTTATCTTAACCTAGCTCTGAAAAACTCGGCCCTGAGCTCTGGTTGTTCTCATGCCGACACGGTGGGTGGCTCCTCCTAAAATGTTCTGCAATTGGTATAGGATTTAATGGAGCCGAAACCAATTGAAGAATTGCACGCATTTTACGCATCCTACTGATGAACAGTTGGGACACGTAGATATATTTTTTAGCAACTACTATAATTTGCAGTCTGTCTACTTTGAATACATCCCAGGAGAGCGAGTCATAACAAATGACAAAGGTCCCATGGGGACACTCTCTTGTTTCTCTTAGTTACCTAGAAATGAGGAACCTTCCTCAAAATCCTGGTAGTTCCTGATAGCGTTGTTTTGTAGTTTTTTTTATGTATTTTTATCATCACCATCATCGTCATCAACATCATCATCATCATCATCATCATTCTAGTTTATATTTTGAGATTCAAATTTTCATTGAATCCAAACCCAAAATTAAGCATCAAGCTTAAAACAAGAATCATAATACCAATGAACTCGCAAAATACACTTCTAATCTTGATTAGTAAATTAACTGCCTCTTTGATATCATCATCATTTTCGTCGTTGTTTCATCAACAGCATCACTATCTTAACCAGTATTTTAAATAAAATGAATGTACCAAAAACAAAACAAGTCGAGTGGTTGGCGCGTCGGATCGGACTCGCAATCTGGCGTGGAGTGCCTTAAAACCAGCTAGAACAGCTAAGTGCACTTTCACTATAAACAAGACCCCAATATCTACCAAAAACTTACCCCGAGTCCCTATGACGCTCTATCCATGGATTTAAACTGACCCTCGGTAGTGTGTCGCATTCAACTTTTTCTTTGGATTGCTGAAACACCATCTTGTTGACAGCCGTGATGCTATCAGCATTGTCGCAGAGTATCCTGGCAAAGGTTGTTTTCCTGATTTCCTGTAGCATTGCACCGTTGTACGCCGTTTGATCAGTGTTTAAGTTTCGGTTCGGTGCATTTTCGTGCCAGAAGCGATCTCCAACTCTGAGGCGTTTGAACTGCTCCGCTACAATGCACTGGAAAGTTGGTCCTAGTACCCCTCCGTCACTACCCCTCGGTCTTGGCTCAAGCATTCCTTTGAAGAAAAAAGCAAAACCGGTTTTTGGTTACAAATTCTACCAATCGCATTATAAAACCAGAAAGATCTGTATAGCAGGAACAGAAAGGAACAGGAATTATAGGGGTCTTTTTATTTGGTGAACGACCATTGGTGCCTGCGTTTTCTCGACAAGTTATATTTAAAGGAATTTTAATGTGTTTGATCTTACTGTGTCAGGCACTTAAGCAAAATTTAGCACCTAGGTGACCAACCAATACACTGAAATGTAAACTGAAATAATGCCTTGCTTAAAACAGTGAGGGGCATTTACCTAAAAACAGCAAATAAAGAGTAGACCAAATAGGACAAACAAGACCAATAGAACAATTGAGCGATGACGTCATTTTACTAAAGAATCCTTCAGTTAGTCGTTTCTTGTGTAAATTAGGGCTACTACTCAGCAGGATTGACAGATTTACATAAGAAAGCAAAAACGAAATGAATTCTGGTATTTGTAATCAATTGTCGTCATCGTGAAATTAGCCTTTTTCGATATAATTTAATCCAAGGCTTAGGAGGATTAATCTCGATGGCTCAGCGATGAATGATACATTTCTTTTGTGTAATTCCGACGACCCTCAAAGCCAAGTTTGAATTTTAATATATCGAAATTGGTGAATTACAGTTGAGGTTTTTGAAAACTATCCGCCAAATTTTTCACAGTTTAAGAGGCTGTCCGCGTAAGAACCGATAAGGCAAATTTCGGTCCATCACGGATTGCCCTGATTTTTTCAGTGGAAGATAACTATCCTATCACATGAAGAAATATCACATTTATTTGGACCAACTCAAGTTTTTCTCTATTTTAGAGGAAGATTTTCTCGGTCACCTAAAAACCAGCCAGTTTGCCGTCGGAAGTGGTGCGATTTTGGTGAAACTTTAGGGCTCTGTCAAACCTACCTTACCTGGCAGAATAAACTGATTATTTTACACACAAAAGTTTTAACTCTGGTTAATAGTTTCAAGGTTCAGTCGTTGCATTCTGTGGAAAGTTGGCTGAGATATGATTTTTTTAAAATGACCTATAATTTGCTCAGCAGGAAAAGTAATTTGCATAACTAGAGCTGAACGGTAATTTCGCAAAAGTGGCACCTGACCCAGACTCAAGGCTATGATAAATCAGAAGTACTAAGACCAGTCTACTTCTTAACGCAATAAAATTTGTGGGCACTCTTCTTTGCGTGCCGTGCAAAGTTCCGTTAATGTTACAAAATTCGCCATTTTGACAGCAAAGCCAGAATTGTAACGGGTCCGCATTTGATCGACTAATTTCCACAGCTTTAACGTTTCTAGTTATCACTAAATGTCATTAGACCCTTTAAATGTTGGACGTTTGCAAACATGTGGAGAAAACTTAGTAATCGCTTTTCCTTGGGTCTTTTTCTTGTCGACGATGAACGTGACTTCCTTCTTCGTATGCAAATTAGCCTTAGTTCGTTGTTTCAACAAATTGACAGGAAATATAATCCTGACATTTCACATTTCTAAGGGGAAAATAACTCTCCTTTCCACAGAAAAAGACAAATCATGACTTAAAATCCCCTTAAGGTCTGTTTTTTTTTTCTTTTTTTTTAACGAGGAAGAAGCAGCTGAATAATATATCATGATATATGTTTGCGTGGCTTAAAATAATTCAATTGTTGTCGCCTGTCACGCATTCTTAAAGAGGGGTGGTCGATTAGAGAACAATAACGTTGTGTCGATCAATTCTACAATATTATCATCTTTTTTAAAATGATAGTTATTGATAATAATAATAAAAAAAAGAGTTCACTAGCAAGGTAAGTCGTCTTGTCAGCACACGAAAATTTTTGGGCACTCTTTTTTGCGTGCCTTAAAAAATAGCGTTAACGTCGAAAGCTTTATTATGATATTTGCTTATCAGGAGAAGGCAGATCTTTGTACATGGCACTATGATAAAAAAAAAAAAAAATGCCCTACTCTTCTTCTATCTTAAATTAGCAGTAAATTTCTGTTTCATTCAAAGATCTTTAAAACGTTTATCGGTAGCAGAATGGAAAGGGAAAAATAGTTCCTTTTTTCAGTGAATAAACGCAAAAGGGAGTATCTTTTTAGTTTTTGTTAGGGTATAACATCCGAATTCCAACGATGATCTTGTTTTGGTTTCAATCTGATTGAATTATAACGCAGCAGGTGCCAATTTCAGATATTATTATGTCAATGAAATCGCCGAAGAGATCAATTGTGAAAAATGGCTTTTTCGGCTATTTCATCAAGCAGTTCTTCCGCGAGATCGTTGACAGACTGAGGTCCCAGTAGGGGTGTGGAGGAAAAAGTGTTGGTCACAGAGTGCATGGATGATATTACGTCACACTTAGCCAGCTGTCACTTGTCTAAGTGTAGCAAGTGTAGCAAAGGCAATGAAAATGAACTCATTTTAGCGAGAGTAAGTATTCGAGGCTTGGTGGGTATTCGGAACTGAAATGACAATCTGCCCACGGCACAGACACTAAATAGCCTGTGTACAGACCCCCCTCCCCTCAGGAAAAATCAGAGAAGGGGCCCCTTCTACGAGGAGGGGGGGGAGGGTAGTATGTACATAGGCTAACACTAAAATGACAATCTGCCCAAGGCACAGACACTAAATAGCCTGTGTACAGACCCCCCTTCCCCTCAGGAAAAATCGGAGAAGGAGCTCCTTCTACGAGGAGGGGGAGGGGGGTAGTTTGTACATAGACTAACACTAAAATGACAATCTGCCCAAGGCACAGACATTAAATAGCCTGTGTACAGACCCCCCTCCCCTCAGGAAAAATCGGAGAAGGGGCTTCTTCTACGAGGAGGGGGGATGGTAGTGTGTACACAGGCTAACACTAAAATGACAATCTGCCCAAGGCACAGACACCTGCTTCGCAGGTTTTTGCGGGCGCCAAGTCTTGTTAGGCTCGATTGTCAGCCGCTGTTCTGGAAAATGAAACCCAACGGACGGGGAGACGGCGGAAATCGAGCCTAAGGTCTTGTCAATACCCCGGTCACACTCTGGATCATACTGGCAAAAGAACTTCTGTGGCAGGAAGACATGTCGTAAATTTCCAGATAGCCAGCGAAATAAGTCAAAGTTTTGTTCCATCAGGTAAGTATCATTCTTTTTTCTTCTTCACGCAAAAAATTTTCTTAACGTACAGAGATATTCTAATTTCTCTATTTAACATTTTATCTTGCGATGTTTTCTGTTACAAGAAGACGAGGAGTTCGAAAGGCAAAACCTTGTTGCAGAAATCGCTGAAGAATTGAGACCACAACACCCTCAACCAGAAGCTTTCAACCTATGTGTAATGTCAAAGGAAGAGCAACGTAGTCATTTCAACGTGTGGTAATGCTAAAAAAATCTTGTGTCACTTTGAAATACCATTCAAATCCAGGGAAAGAAAAGGAGACCTAATTGACAAACTTTCGTCTTTCATACAAGATTGCGCGTGCTTTTCTCCATCAGCTCAGGAGTGAACATAGGGATCCTTAATTTAGTGTGATTAACAGCCGGCAAAAACTTTTGGGATTTGACAGGAGACGGACCGTAAACGATAACTATGCCTTTTTCTGCATGCCATTCCTCATTTTTACTGAAATCTTGTTAATTGGCGATAAACACAATGCTCTGTTAATACCACCCTAAAGTTTGTAGAGTAGCCTATAGTTAGCTAGGGATCTAGGAAGTGTGGGGCCTAAAGGACTTTGCAGGTGTGGTCTGTGGTGTCGCACGGTATTTCTGAAGTTGTTTGCGAACTATTTCGAAAATATTAATTGTTAATTCTGTAACTGAAATATTGTGCTAGTGCTCGTGAATAAGAGTGGCGGTGTCCAAGTGACTACTTTGTAGCTAATTGTCGTGTATTACACCATGGGCTGTCATATTAAACCCTATCCTCACGGTGGCGCCCGGCTGATTCAGTTAAAACGTTCGTAGAATGAATACAGCTATTTCGAAAAAGGTTGTCGGAAAAAATTCACGCGACAATCCCGGAAGGTATTGTTGGTGGTTTTGAGATCACTGCTCTTCATAGAAATTTTGAAAGAATGGCACGAGAGGCCATGGACATATGTTTCCGAGCGCTAAAGCGAAGCAGCAAAAGTAGGCTCGACAGCTACACTGTCAGAAACAGTGTATTGATCATATCCTATATTACCTTTCGGGGTTGTCGCGTGCACTTTTTTCCCGACAACCTTTCTCGAAATAGCTGTAAATACAACAGCACGGTATTTCCCACCCAGTAAAGAATCGGAAGTAACAGTGATTAAATTGTATGATTATCAATAACTATCACTTCAAAAAAAATATAAGTAGATAAAAGAACTGATCGATACACGGCCACTCTCGGGGAATGCTAGACTTTCAAAAAAGTCCTTCGTCGGATTTCATATGGCGCGTCGTTCGCGGTCCAAACAAGGCTCGCTCCGCTCGCCAAGAGGTCGAAGTCTAGGGGAATGCGTGACGGGCCAAAGTAATTAAATTATTTTAATTCGGTAAACATATCTTCTTCTACTGCTTCTTCCCTTAAAAGAAACAGACCTAAGGAGATTCTAAGTCATATATCGTTCGTATTTTTCCGTGGAAAGAAGAGTTTTCTTCCCTTAAAAATGTGAAATATAAGCAGTTATGTTTCCTGCCAATTTGGTCAAACGATCGACGCATCTATGGTAATTTGCCTACGGAGAATGAAGTCGTGTTCTGATCGTCGACAAGGAAAAAAAACAAGAAAAAGCGATTACCAAGTTTTCTCCTCATGTTTTCAAAAGTCCAACATTTAAAGGGTCTAATGACATTTGGTGATAACTAGAAAGGTTAAAACTGTGGAAATTAGTCGATCAAATGCGGACCGTTACAATTCCAGCTTTGCTGTCAAAATGGCGAATTTTGTAACATTAACGGAACTTTGTACAGCGCGCAGAGAAGAGTGCCCACAAATTTTATTGCATTAAGAAGTAGACTGGTCTTAGTACTTCTGATTTATTATAGACTTGAGTCTGGGTCAGGTGCCACTTTTGCGAAATTACCGTTTAGCTCTAGTTATGCAAATTACTTTTCCTGCTGAGCAAATTAAAGGTCATTTTAAAAATATCATATCTGCTTACTTTCCACAGAATACAACCATTAAACTTCGACACTGTTAATCAGGGTTAAAACGTTTGTGTGTAAAATAATCAGTTTATTCGGCTATGTAAGGTAGGTTTGACAGAGCCCTAAAGTTTCGCCAAAATCGCACCACTTCTGACGGCAAACGGGCCAGTTTTAGGTGACCGAGAAAATCTTCCTGTAATATAGAGAAAAAATTGAGTTGGTCCAAATAAATGTGATATTTCTTCATGGGATAGGATAGTTATCTTCCACTGAAAAAATCAGGGCAATCTGTGATACACCGAAATTTGCCTTATCGGTTCTTACGCGGACAGCCTCTTAAGTCTGTTCTTTCTCGGGGCTTTGCTCATGTGGCAGGTATGGTCACAGTCCAGTAATAATTAAGGCTATGTTCTCACTATCACCGGATAGCTTCTGCGCCGGCACGAAAACCACACCGGATAGGACTTCTGTTCACACATAAGATACGGTGATTTCCGCGCGATTTCTGTAACGGAGCAAAGAGCAATCTGGTTTCGTGTGAACATAGCCTATTGCCACAGTTGATCACGTGATAAACTTTCTCTAAATGCGAAAACAGTTCGCTTTTGGAAGATTTTATTAACAGGAACTTAAGGACCATATTAAAATTAGGTAAACTAAACATTTTCAGCCGTATATCTTAACAGTAGCGATTGCAACGGCTGCCGAAAATAAGAAGGATTTGTGTGGAAAATACAACTGTTGCCACCCAGTCACGGTTGAGTGGTCTTCCTACAAGGCCTTGTACATTTGGAAATTCTTAAACTGTCGTTAAATCTTTCCCTTCCGCATTTAAGGGATTAATTGGCCTGTTGTGAAAAAAAGGACACAATTTGAGCCTCGTAATGCAGTTTGAAAATTTCGAAATTTATAAGGATTTGTATGTATATGTAAAACCACTCAACCATGACTGGGGAGCAAAAGTTGTTTTTCCCACACAGATCCTTCTAATTTTCGGAGGCTCAGCTGTTGCAGTCGTTACTTTTGAGATATACGGCTGAAAATTTATAGGTTACCTGATTTTAATATGCTCTTTCCGTTCCTGCTGACAATTATTCCAGCGGTGTTTTTGTGTTTACAAAAAGTTAAACCTTGGCTTTTCCAGCTCTGATTGAGTCATTATTAAAACATCCTTTTTCCTTGTAGGACATATTTTATTCACTTGTGTGTACTAATTCCCCATTTACGATGCATCTTTCAAAAGTTTCTTTTATCTCCATGTTGTTTATATGAAGTATGTAGGCTCATGTTTCTTTTTCACAGTTTGCTTATAACTCCTAATTTAATTATTGTTCCAAGAGAAAAAGAATTGGATTGAAGGGTAAGTAAATTTATTTAAAGCAATTAGCGGAACATGTACACTTACTGGATCGTGGATCCGATTACGCAAATTTATAAAAGAGCGGCGTGGCAAAATTCAGGGCAAATCCGTCTCAAATTAGGGCCCACTTTCTAATTTTGCTTTAAAGCCAAAGTCAAAATGTAAATTACGACTATGAACAATTTATAAATACACAAATTCCCATTTAAACGAGTAATTTCTTTGGCCATTACGTGAAAAATGTACCTGAAAATTCTTTACAAACTTCGCTGTCTTGGTTGCATTTCAAAACAGGACAAGCTGTAAAGAAAACTTGGTCGAAGTCATTGAAGTCAAAAGTTTTTCGTTTTCCACAAAAAGGAAAGTGAGTATTCTTTAGAACTTTCCCTTTATGTCTGCGTCTTCTAACAGTACACGTTTAATCTTGCTACGCGAAAAAAGTTCTCTTCGGTCTCTACGGGAGATTGTTCGCGTTCAAGAGAAAAAATCGTTATGCATAAATTACTCAGTATAAGTATAGGTAATAGCATGATTTGTAGTGATATTTAGCATAAACACCAGTGGTGATATTTCGAAATTTTTATACGTAATTTCACGAGCCGTTAGGCGAGTGAAATATGAGAGAATTTTGAAATATCACGAGTGGTATTTATGCCAAATATTACGTACAAATCATGCTATTATTTGTTTATACTACTACCCGCAAACGTTTGTAATTTTCACTTGTAGGTATTTCAAATTAAGGTGAAATACCACTGCTCTAAGCCAATCAAATTGCAGAAATTTTTCATGTAGTAGTATACGAACATCATGACGTCATGTACAAGAAACTTAGCCGTCAGGTGGAGAGTACCGCGCGCAACGAGACACACAAGGCTGGAGACTGAGCCCAGTAGTAGGCTGGAGAGGTCTCTCTCTTTCCTATCATATATTTGCATGCAGTGAGAGACCTCTGGTAACAAAGAATCAAGGGATATTCTTGGAATGTTTCGACGAACACCGGTCCTGCGCCCGGGCCACAGTCCACCCCCCCTTCCCCCCCTCATACACACACACACACACACACACATGCACTCAGGGACTGCTTACCTCCGACAAACAAGTCGATATCATGAACGTTATCGTACACCTTTCGCAAATTTTCCACGTCATCTTGATCAAAGTCAGCGACGTTCTTCAAATCGTCGAAACTTTTTACATTGCTTAGGCCACATAACTGAAGGTTACGATACTTAGTGTACCCCGGAACTCCACGTTCACGCCCTCTTTGGATGTTAATGCTGACTAAGTCAGATAAATCACCCTCGCCACGTCGTAGGTTTTCTTGCACAGAACTGGAAAATCGCCTAGACATGCAAATAACACAATATTTTAGCTAAGCAAATATAGTTAGCAAATCCTAAAAGCGGAGCTGCTTTAAATTTTAATACGAACATTCACTCCTATGTAGGCAACGAGTGGAAGGTAAACGAGGTGTATTATGGGCAATGTGAAGATCTGTGGACGAGGTTGTTTTGCTCAGCTGTTTTGGTTTTAGCTAAAGAAAATGGCGAGAAATTACACACGTTTGCGAAAACGATGAGAATTAGCTGAGCTTATGCCTAAAAACATAGCAAGAACAGCTGGACAGCTGAACATCTAATAGAACTACCAGACTCATCATCTCTTTATGTACTGACTTTACTTAGAACATGAACTGAAAGGGGACAGGCGGCAAATTTGCTACGTTCGAAATAAGTATAAGTTGTAACTGTTCATCATAAAGATGCCAAAAATGTTTTAATCATCACAATTGGTTTCGGCTCCTTTAAATCCTATACCAGTTTTGGAAGAGCCACCTAGTATTGACATCAACTCATTCTTATCAACGCAAGTAGTACATTAAAAAAAGGTATCTATCATATACAGGCAAGAGGCGCTTCCTTTTGCTGCTGTTGTCAATTCTTATGATCATAGTTGTTTTGTTAATTTATTTCAGAGGGGAAGAAATTTTCAATCGTAGCACATATCTATTTTTGTTTATGGTAGAAAGTAAATGCTCTACCAGAAAAAATGCTCTGCCCAGCGTTTGGTCCAGGGATACAAAATTTTCATTTGCAGTCGAACCTGATCCCCATTAACAATCAACTTGGGGAGAGAGGTAAGTAGTCCCAGTCTGTAAGTATATGAAGGGGTGGGGGGACATTTTCTATGGCATATAACGGGATGGGGGTTGAACCTCGGGACGGAGCACTCCCTCTTAATTACAAGACTTGGTTTGGTAACACCCTCTCTTCTGGCACTAGACAGTTCCTATTTACTCACCCGTCACTTTTCGCTGCTGAATCTTTCACTAGTCCCCTCACAATGGCGTCTACGCCGCCCTGATCTGTCTCGTATAAGTATTGAGGATTATTGAAGTCCAACACTGGGATGGACCGAAATTGTGTTTTCAAACCGCATTCACTTCCTTCATGTTCGAAACCAAATTGACTGAATCTTCCAAACCATTCTTGAACTAAGCTGTGGCCAAATCGGTATGCAGCGACAGAAAAGGCATTTGTCATTTGAGCATTAACGCTTTGTTTGTAGCCTTTGAAAAACTCTCTTCCCTTAAGGAGCCCGAGGCCAAACTTATTGATCTGTATAGTGAGGGGGGAAAAAAGAACATTATGAATGTTGCTTTTAAATGTACGGGAGAAACAGCTGAAAACATGCTGACTAATACTAATAAATTTAAAGCAGGTCGAATAGCTCTTTTCGTGTACATCTTGTTATGAATTACTTCCCCCAAAAAAGTAGCCCTTGAATAATTACCTTCCAGGAAGTAGTTCGAAACTTAAAGTCTTTGATCTACAATAATTATAAAGAATAAAAAAACAAAGCTTTTCGCAAAATTAACAAAACCTGACGTAACTGACATTCAGTTGCTGAATTTAAGACCGGGGTACGTGGGTGTTTCTTATAATCGTGAATAACTTCCCTCCTGCCATTGCAAAAATTGTACAGCATTGTATACCAAAATGACTGTTTAAGAATTAGGAAAGTTTCAGTTTCCTTAGATGGGACTCCTTATTCTCACGGTATAGCATCTTTCCAAAAATAGTGGTTAAAAGACTGTTTTTAAGACTTAGTGCCTGTTTTAAAGCAGGCACTAAGGACCTGTTTACCTGAAGGTGTTGGGGATCCCAGGCGGTTGAGGTAACCCGCTTTGGTGGGGTAACCCGCTGGTCCATATAATCCCTCATTTTATCTTGACCACGTTTACATGATGGGTGGGGTGACCCGCCACATGTTACCTCACTTATCTGGAGCCCCCCACCTCCATAAAAACAGGCCCTAAGTTCGACCAGCAGTTCAAGGACTTTTGGAAAGTAGGCCTCTCAGATGTTGTTCTTTCAAAATATCCCAATAAATCCCATAATTTCGAAAATTTAACTCTTATGACGTCATCACTTTAGAACGGTACACAATGCAATACTGTATTTAAAATGGAACATACAGTTAGCTATATGGATTAGTTAAAAAGAAAACTTGCTTGTGCTCTGATTATGCATTTTGAAAAGTGTAACCGCCATAACATAAGTATGAACACGAAGAAAGATGAAAGACAAACAGCGGTGATAAACACTGTGAGCTTTCGCATTTCTATGAACTTGACTTTTCGTATGTTCGTATGTTATTCAACATAAATTTTCCAAAGGGGTCTTAAGTGACCGTTAAAGATAATGACGAGACTATACATACAAAAGTTTTTACAAGGGTTCTGGAAATGAGATTAAGAATTCAAAGTTCTTAACAGTAATGAATAATACTAAAGGCACCAGCTTTTCAGTGCTGTTGTTGACATTAAAACCTGTCTTAAGGTCTTGTATAAACAATGTTTCTTTTATCTTACAATGGTAATCTGTCTTGCCAGATGCTAAAAATTCAAAAGGATCCCACTTGATTTTATGTCCGGTAGCAGTGACATGGTCAGCAATAGCTGACGAGGGATCATTTTTTGTCAGGCACTTGCAGTGTTCAGTCTTCCTATCATGGAGCCGTCGCTTAGTTTTGCTAATGTAAAAATCATCACAATTCCAACATGCGAAACGTCAAATCTATAAAAATGCGAAGGCTTACAATGTTTATCACTGCTGTTTGTGTTTTATTTTTTATCAAACTACGATGGCCCAAGGACAAAAGTCTATGATAAAAAGCAAGGTGCCTATGCTTTACTTGCGTTGCACCAGATTTCTAGTAAGACGTGAAAAATAGCCCTTACTAAGGGTCTAGGAGACAACAACTATTTTCATTAATCATAAGAGATTAAAAGCGAGCTATCAACCTACCGTTTCCTTACTCAAAATCAATGGCAGGAATTCGTTGTATGTAATGACTTGCAGTTGCGCCCCGATGATTTTTCTGGTCTCTTGGTAAATCCTTTCGTCGTCCCATCCATTAATATTATTGTTGTTGCTTAAAAATGTGGCTATTCGGTTGTGCTGCCGAACGAAGATGGTGTGGACTGAATTGAGACCTGCAAGATAAGACATCTTATTATACATTGCGTTCGCTATCTGTCTTCTCATTGGCTAGAGCCTGCGGTTAATTTTGGAAATCAGTGTAACCTAAAGTTAGCTAGTTATCTGCTAATCTGTAAGTTGCGCGCAATGCATGATTTTCAAGAGCCGCAAAATGACAAACTGCGTTCGGCGTGCAACGGTGTTTTTGTGCTCATATTCTTCAAAGTAATGTATAATAAAACAATTTTTGGATGAGGTTTTCGTAAAACCCTGAATAATCAAGATCTCGGTAAGTTTTATCAGCCTTGGCCAATGTTGGTTTAAAATTGATCGTTGATAAATAAATAAATGAATTGTAAAGATTCTTCGGTAGTGTATCTCCTATCCGAGTCGATCTCGACAAACTGGAATTCAAATTTAAGTCGAAAGGAAAACTTTCGAGAGAGAGAGAGAGAGGAAAAAAGAAAAGCTCGTTGACCTATATGTTATTTTGCTATCATAAATCTAGAAAAGTTATCTCATTTACGTGAAGTTTGCCCGATGGAAATCGGTTGATCATTGGTGGCATTAACCGTACTAAATTATATGAACTTCTCTATTTTGAAAAAAACATTTTTCAAACGAATATTACGTAACAACAACAACAACAACGAGCTTTCTTTACATTTCGCTTTAGAATAATTATAGTTACAGCAGGCAGTTTTAGTCTAACGGTCAGTTAGATGCAATATAATATTTGTAAAACTAAAAATGCATTACAGGTAAGGGAATACCTAGCATCTAAATAAACCGTTAGGTTTCCGAGTTAGATGCGAGTCTTGTATTGTTACAATTTAATATGTAAACATCAAGAGCAACACACAAACACACATCCACTCACACCAAGCATGAACTGCAGTCAAAGAGTACAATAGCTAAGTAAAATGTTGTATGCGACTCTTAACTCTGACAGTGGATTTCCTTTACTTATCATAAATATTGTTTTACTTTCTTACGCCGAAAATTGAAGTGTTTTACATGTTTAAGTTCAATAGGTAATTCCTGCCACAATTTAACAGCCATATATATACATGGAATAACAAGGATGGTTAGGTGGAGAAGAAAGAACGAGATTAACAATCTCTCTCTGCTCCAGAAGTTCAAAAAAGCTTTAGGGCCCTGTTATGGGATAATTGCACAAAGGATATGGCGTAGGAAAGGGACGTAAGTCAGAATAAATGGCGACAAACGACAAAAAAGAATTGGGTTCCTTGAGACTGCGATAGCGACGAAGAAAAGCGCAAATACAGGAGTACAATAACGATAGAGACATGGCCTCCTTCTCAATGAGTGAAAGGCGGAAGGTTTTGAAATTCATAATAGGGACATATCTAACCCACCTAAGAGGACCTCGATAATAACGCATATATAGACTCTTACATCATCTAAGCTGACTTATTCTTACCTGGGTTCTCATTGTTTCTGATGTCCCCTGTTAAAAAGCACGGTCTGTTTGGATCTAGTGACGGACAGAAACCCATGGTTTGCTTAGGCAACAGATTTCTGAAGGGCTTGCCATCTGGATGCTTCATAACTTTCAGAAGTCCACCTTCAGCACGGACTGAATCGGCAACTTCCTTTGATGACCCATAAACGTTGGAAGCATCAACATAAGCTGTAAGAGTGTTGATGTGCTCTCTGGCGACCAGTTTACAGAAAGAAGATGGCTCGTGAGGGGCGTCTCTCTCCATTTCAATAATATCGACTTCCCGGTCTCGGAATGTTGCATCGTCCTCGGGAATTTCAATGTTGATGCACTCTGGATTTGTGGTGGGTGGTTCGCAGTTAAGCTCTTGGGGCATTGCCAGAGTTGTGTCATGGTCCATGAACTGTCCAAAATTCATGGTCAGATGGGTCAGTGTGGTAGAATTTGGGTTAGTGCGCTTTTTGTTACTGCCGTGAACAAAGCGACTTACATCACGCGCATTCGGAAGCTCCTTTCCACACGTTGCAAGGCGAGGTGTTGAGATGGAATCGCCATAATCCGCTGCTATGAGACGATTAAATTGTGTATTGACTGCTCCGAAGGTTGGGTTTTGTAAGTTGTTGCACGTTCCGTCGATGGTGCGAAATGGCGTCCTTGGATCGCAGTTTATCTTTTGTGACTGTTCAGGGTTACTGACATCAAGTTTTTGACTGAGAATTGCCATTTTACACTTCCTCTCTCTTTCAGTGCTAATAACCAGACAAGAAAAATACGAAAAGGGTGATCATTATCCTTTTTGATAATTATTATTTGTCTCTTCAAAAGGTTCTAGATTGTTTGTGGTAAGCAGGTTGTGACTGGTCGTTAGCTATGATCTGTCGGACTACGTACAGGTAGGTACTTTAAGTAGGGTTATTAAAGTGTATCAAGAAATGTATCAAAATAGCCATGTATACCCATGCATAGCTATGTATACCCATGTAATGCCATGTATAGCCATGTATACCCATGTATAGCCATGGATTGCCATGTATTACCATGTATTGCCATGTATTACCATGTATCACCATGTATTACCATGTACAGCCATGTATACCAATGTATAGCCATGTATTGCCATGTATAGCCATGTATTACCACGTATACCCATGTATACCCATGTATAGCCATGTATTACCATGTATTACCATGTATTGCCATGTATTACCATGTATCACCATGTATTACCATGTATAGCCATGTATAGCCATGTATAGCCATGTATTACCATGTATCACCATGTATTACCATGTATCACCATGTATTGCCATGTATACCCATGTACAGCCATGTGTACCTATGTATAGCCATGTATACCCATGTATAGCCATGTATTGCCATGTATTATCATGTATTGCCATGTATTACCATGTATCACCATGTATTACCATGTATAGCCATGTATAGCCATGTATTACCATGTATCACCATGTATTACCATGTATAGCAATGTATAGCCATGTATAGCCATGTATAGCCATGTAATGTCATGTATAGCCATGTATTACCATGCATCACCATGTATAGCCATGTATACCTATGTATAGCTATGTATACCCATGTATAGCCATGTATTGCCATGTATAGCCATGTATTGCCATGTATACCCATGTATAGCCATGTATAGCCATGTATTACCATGTACAGCCATGTATTACCATGTATAGCCATGTATAGCCATGTATTACCATGTATCACCATGTATTGCCATGTATTACCATGTATTATTATGTATCACCATGTATTACCATGTATAGCCATGTATAGCCATTTATAGCCATGTATTACCATGTATCACCATGTATTACCATGTATAGCAATGTATAGCCATGTATAGCCATGTAATGTGATGTATAGCCATGTATAGCCATGTATTACCATGTATCACCATGTATTACCATGTATAGCAATGTATAGCCATGTATAGCCATGTAATGTCATGTATAGCCATGTATTACCATGTATCACCATGTATTGCCATGTATACCCATATATAGCCATGTATAGCCATGTATTGCCATGTATACCCATGTATAGCCATGTATACCCATGTATAGCCATGTATTGCCATGTATTACCATGTATTGCCATGTATTACCATGTATCACCATGTATTACCATGTATAGCCATGTATAGCCATGTATAGCCATGTATCACCATGTATTACCATATATTACCATGTATAGCCATGTATAGCCATGTATAGCCATGTATTGTCATGTATAGCCATGTATTACCATGTATCACCATGTATTGCCATGTATTGCCATGTATAGCCATGTATACCTATGTATAGCCATATATACCCATGTATAGCCATGTATTGCCATGTATAGCCATGTATTGCCATGTATACCCATGTATAGCCATGTATAGCCATGTATTACCATGTACAGCCATGTATTACCATGTATCACCATGTATTGCCATGTATTGCCATGTATAGCCATGTATTGCCATGTATAGCCATATATTGCCATGTATAGCCATGTATTGCCATGTATAGCCATGTATTGCCATGTATAGCCATGTATAGCCATGTATTACCATGTACAGCCATGTATTACCATGTATAGCCATGTATAGCCATGTATTACCATGTATCACCATGTATTGCCATGTATTACCATGTATTATTATGTATCACCATGTATTACCATGTATAGCCATGTATAGCCATGTATAGCCATTTATAGCCATGTATTGCCATGTATCACCACGTATTACAATGTATAACAATGTATAGCCATGTATAGCCATGTATAGCCATGTAATGTCATGTATAGCCATGTGTAGCCATGTATTACCATGTACAGCCATGTATTACCATGTATAGCCATGTATAGCCATGTATTGCCATGTATCACCATGTATTGCCATGTATTACCATGTATTATTATGTATCACCATGTATTACCATGTATAGCCATGTATAGCCATGTATAGCCATTTATAGCCATGTATTGCCATGTATCACTATGTATTACCATGTATAGCAATGTATAGCCATGTATAGCCATGTATAGCCATGTAATGTCATGTATAGCCATGTATAGCAATGTATAGCCATGTATTACCATGTATCACTATGTATTACCATGTATAGCAATGTATAGCCATGTATAGCCACGTAATGTCCTGTATAGCCATGTATTACCATGTATCACCATGTATTGCCATGTATACCCATGTATAGCTATGTATAGCTATTTCTTAAATATCCCTTATTTTCCTTTTCTTGCTGGTATTCAAGAGCCAGTCAATCGATAAAAATCGGTAGCAATCAAGTGATTAAATTCCAATTGATAACTGGAATCGGTGAAAATCGATAACATAAATTTCTGTGTCAAATCGATATTGACGATTTTTCATGATTTTCACGATTGATAACGTAAGTCCATCATGGTTGTTTCGTGGCTTAAGCTAGATAGTACAGCTAAGAAAACATATCCACGAGTAACTACTGATAAACAAACAGAAAATGGGAAATGTGGAAACTATTACACACACAAAATTTTGTCTAAAACCCTTCATGTTGAACAAAAACAATTCAGGTTAAATACATTCAGTTCTCGCATTTCAGACATTCCTTCGTCTCGAAGGGATGTCTGAAATTCAGGCTAACAGATTTTCCTTAGATACTTTTTCACCTTTTTGTGTTATCAATCAAAAAAATGACTTGATTGCTAACGATTTTCATCGATACCGATATTATCTATATTGACTACTCCTGCATGTAATTCGGCTACACCCGAAACTAGACCGACGTACCCTATTTTGAAAGGGTGGTAGATCTAGCTCGTGAAGCTGGGCGCCTACAAACCTGTCCAATTATTCTCAGCCATCAGGAGAAGACTTGAAAGAAAGGATAAGATTTTTTTTTAAGTGATAACTGTTGGATCTTTCGACTGTCAAATATTGCAACTCAGTTGTCATTAAATTTAATGTTTGCATGAATTCAAAGGGAGAGAAAGAGTTTCTAGCAAATTGTTTCCAATCAAATATATATGTGAACTCATGTCTGGCAAACTCTTCAAAAGTTTATATACACACAATTATACGAAACTTATAACTTCAACTGCGCTTAACGAGCGAAACTTTGAAAACAGCTGCTCCACAAAATGTCACTGATAACGCGTAACGCAAAAGGTAAACGAAGTATGACCAAAAAAACTACCAATCTGCGGTCCTTCGGGATTTTCTGTCTTTACTACGGGCGCGAACAAAAGAAAACGTTAACCCCCTATCCCTTGCGGCCCCTATCTATAAAAGAAATCGATATTTTTTTCTGGTATACTGACTATAAATAACAACTGTAAGTACTTTCCGTAATAAACGGGCGAGCTAATAGAGTGCTTCCTCGGAATTTCGCCTTATGGGCGAAATCCCTGCTCTTCGGGACCAATAAGTTCTTAACTGACTTTCAAAGAGGGTATTTTCTAAAGTGACCAATGGCACTTGAATATCTTTGTCAACTAGTATCCGTTTACAATCCTGAAAGAACGTTGCCCTCCCCAAAAAACTATATTTTCATTCGGAAAAAAAGCCTTTTCTTGGGCTACCCCTGAACTATGTAACAGACAAAAAAAAGACTTTAATCCAACTTAAGACATACATAGTAAATACATGGCCACACATGGCAATACATAGCAATACAGAGTAATTAATAGAACTACATAGCAATACATGGCTATACACGCAGTACATGTCAATATATGTAATACATGGGAGTACATGGCTGTACATGACAGTACACGGCTATACATGGCAGTACATGGCAATACATCGCTATACATAGCAAAACATAGTAATGCATCGTAATACATAGTAATACATGGCAAAACATGGTAATACAAAGTAATACATGGTAATACATAGCGATACATGGCAGCACATGGTAATACATGGCGATACATGGTAATACATGGCAATAAATGGCTATACATGGCTATACATGGTAATACATGGCAATACACCGCATTACATGGGTATTCATGGCTATACATGGTAATACATGGCAATACATGGGTATACATGGTAATGCATGGCTATACATGGTAATACATGGTGATACATGGTAATACATGGCTATACATGGTAATACATGGCAATACATGGCTATACATGGGTATACATGGGTATACATGGCAATACATAGCTATACATGGCAATACATGGCTATACATGGCAATACATGGCTATACATGGCTATACATGGTAATACATGGTGATACATGGCTATACATGGTAATACATGGTGATACATTGTAATACATGGCAATACATGGCTATACATGGGTATACATGGCAATACATGGCTATACATGGCAATACATGGCAATACATGGCTATACATGGCAATACATGGCTATACATGGCTATACATGGTAATACATGGCAATACATGGTAATACATGGCAATACATGGCTATACATGGGTATACATGGCTATACATGGGTATACATGGCAATACATGGCAATACATGGCAATACATGGCTATACATGGCTATACATGGCTATACATGGTAATACATGGTGATACATGGTAATACATGGCTATACATTGTAATACATGGCAATACATGGCTATACATGGGTATACATGGCAATACATGGCTATACATGGCAATATATGGCTATACATGGCAATACATGGCTATACATGGCTATACATGACATTACATGGGTATACATGTCAATACATTATTTTAAATGCATTCTTGATACACTTTAATAACCCTACTTAAAGTACCTACCTACGTACAAGGACACGCCGCTGACCTCAAGGACACACTTAATCGAACTCAAGGTTTTGAAAATGCTTAATGTGACTCGGCCCAGTTACACAAAAGAAACAAAAGAAAACCCCCAAAGCACAAAGTCAGCCAAAACGCTAAAAATCGTCAATGTTTACTCAAGTTTGGGCTTATAGAAGCTAATGTCACAGTTTTTCAATGATCGTGAAATTCAGAATCCGGGTAGTTAGTTAATCAATTGTGGCCCTGGAAAAATTTGAAGGAAAAAAATACGAATTTTTAAGAAAATGCTTTTTTCGTGAGAAGGACTCTTAAACACTGACAAACGTCAACAAATAGCTAAAACTATAATTTGTATATGGAATATGTTTGCATTGCTGGAAATCTCGCGCATTTACAAGGCCCCACAGCCTTTTGCTGACTTGCAAGGACCCATCTGTTATTAAGATCCCCAAAATAAAGGGATAAATCTCATAGTTTATTAGATATAATCGTGTAAAGTTTGCTTATCATTTTCGCATAAATTATGACCCAAATTTGGAAACCGCTGAATTTCTCACATTGGGTCTTTGCGATAGTTTGGTGAAACTCTGTTCAACGCAAGGCACTAATAAGCACTATATGTAGCCGAGAGATTTTCACGAAAAAATGCCGGCAACAGCAGAATTTCGACTCACACCCCAAAGAGGGGTGGCACTATAACCACGTGACATTTACTCCGATCGCCAAAAATGTTATGCTATATTGTAGAGTGATCTATATGTTATCCATGCTATATGTTAGACTTACGATCAAAGTAAAGGTGGGGATACCAGAGAGCTTTAAAGTAGGATGGTACCCTCACAAAATAACTTGGTCGAGTCACCTTAATGAGAGCTTGTTCGGAGTTGACCAGATATAGTTGTCCAGAGTTAAGTGGCGAAGATGAGCAAACGATATCTTGGGGTTTCAATTTTTTTCCCGAAATTTGTTTGGTTTGGAAAATTTGGCAAGGGTTTTTTGGGGGGTGTGTTGATTTAAAGTTATTAAAAACAATCTGAAGATTGGCGTTGTACCGAGTGTGTATGCTGGCCGCGTAGTTCTATCTGATAAAAAAAAGTATGGGGGTGACTTTTTGTTTTCAGAAACTTTGTGGGGGCTGGTGGAGGGAGTCGTTGGAAGCATGTTCTAGGGATTTTGGGGGGTTTTGATTTTTGCTCCTTTTGATGATCCCCGTCATTTTAATTCGCCATTTAAATCCCCCTCCCCTGAACAGAATAATGGAGCAATTTTTGATATATCACAGACTGAACTTAAGTACTTACGCAGTTAATGTCGATTCAATGTTCAATTGCTTTAAGGTTTCAGCACTCATCTCATGGCAAAGTTTATTTAAGACACAGGTGTTGCACTGTTCACTCTTTTTTACTTTCAGCCACTTTTCATCACTCATGGAACTCTTTTCTCCATGCTGAAACGATTGGTAAAACTTCTTCTGGGCGCCCTTTTTTTCTTCCACTCTATTCCTTGGCTGTACATATACCTTGCTGCATTTACCGTTCGCAAGGTTTTTCGCTTTGTCTATGATACTCTGTGGGAGATCTTCTACCATCACATCATCCAATTCATCGAAGGACCAGCTGCCATTCAGATCAGGAATGTCATCTCTCTTTTCGTTTTCCACTTCTTTTGTTTCGTTCTCTTCAAATTCCTCCTTACTCGAGTAGATGTCGTCAAGTACGTAAGATGACGCCAGCCCAAGGGTCAATGCGAAGATTAACGAGCAAACCGGTGAGCGAAACATCTTGTTTCACTATAGAAAAGAGTGAATGATTTGAACATAGAAGTGTCTAGCTGCTTCAGGAATACTACAAAAGTCGAACCTCCATGTACAGTGTACTACCACCTTCCATAAGCGACCACTTAACCAAAACACCGCGGTTTTGTTAAACACGGGTTAAGCTCCGTTTAAAGAACTGGCCCACTAGTTTTGCAAAGGACTAAGTCGATATTAATGCTAACTTTCAAAACTTGGAAGAACGGCGGAAATGTCTTGCATAGAATTGATAACAAAGCTTGGAATCTTTTTGGACAGGGGAAAACGAGAATTTAGTTATGAATATTTCCTCTCTAGACAAAAAAGATGGTTCCGACTAAATGGGCCTGACAGTGCTGTGTAACTCATAATCGTTAGTGTTAGAGTCTGCGATCTAAAGGACGCTTAACGGAAACTTTTTAAAATATAATATTGATGCAAAAAATAGTGCTTCGATTATTTTAACAGGGGCACCCAACGTCAATTTTCGGAAAATATCTGTTCGGAGGACGATTTGAGATCTAGAATTTTTGGAACATTTTTTGTAAAATTCTTGCTTGCTTACCTCTCCTAGGATTTTCGAACGTCTTAAAAAGGGTATAATTGCCCATTTTTAACGGCGTTTTACCCTAAAAAGGTCACCTAGAATTTTCGAGAGTCTTTTTTCTGCCTAAAACTTTCGAAAAGGTAAATTTTGATCCCTATAATTTTCGGATCACTAGACTTTCTGCTAGGAAATCCGAACATATGAAAAATTTTTAGGGGATAAAAATTTGCCTATATTTACCGTTTAAATACTAAAATACGTTGAACAAGCTATGTTTAAGTGGTTAACTATATTCTTCGTTGGGTGCCCCTGTTTTAATTGGTTAAAAAAACGCTTTGTGAGTCAGACAGCTTAGACACGAAGAGACTACAGCAGACTGAGGCAGAAAGACTGTAAAGACTACAGCAAAAGCTAAATTTAAAGACAAAAAGGTAGCTTACCAAAGTCCTTACGTTTATATACGAAACTAACGAATCCCTCCGAACAATCAATAGAAGCGCTGTTAAGAGCAGAGTTGTGGATTCGACTGACTTCCAAAGAATGAATTGTAGATAGAATGAAACGCGAATTTTTATAGCGTATGCCGCGAATGATCATATTTAGATTTGCTATTGGATCAAAAGGACCTAACGTAAATGGTAGGTAAAAATTCCTGAGTGGTCGAGTATCACGTTTTGAATTTCTGACTAGTAAGAAGGAGATCAGCGCATAGTGTTGCAACTTGAGAAACCACTGTCCATGAGGAGGGTTGGTTTCAAAATATAGAATTGCAAGATAAACAAATTATTTAAAAGTTAAAACGAGATAGTTTACATCTAGGGAATAGAAAATTCCAAAACTCAGAGCAAAATTTAAAGGAATATTTCGACCGAATCGCTTGAACTTAATCAGCGAAGTGTCACGGTTGCGTAACAGAAAAGCTGTCAAGTATCCCTAAACAAAAGAGAGGTTATAAATGGTCAGTGGGTCCAGTCCATCATCCCTATTCAAAAAAGGTTTTCTATATTTTAAATATTTCTAAAGAGATTGCTTAGTACTACCCGTACACCAATAAAAGATTGGTAAAAGAATACACTAGATCTGACCAAACAAAATTTTCGAACAGCAAGTTCAGCGATGCGAATGAAATCTTGAAAGTGGATACACTTTCTTTAAGGCTAAAGATGCAATTTTAAACTTGAAGTAATTAATCCAAGTCTCGGCTGGAAAGGCATTGTTATACCACCCAAATCAAGCGAACAAAGCTCAATTGCACTTGAACAGGTAACGCAACTAGCCCTTAATGATAAGACGAACTCTCCAATAGGTCCTTCGTGGTAATGAATTTCGCTTATTTGAAGGCCGGGATTGGGGATTTTACATGCAAATGGGGCGAGATTGAGGATTGAAATCACGAGATGCAGTGGGATTGAAGAGCTCCACTGGTGATCCTTTTAAAACTGAGGGAAATTGATTTGTCATAAGTCGTGCCAAGCAAATTCATATTTTTTTTGTAGACATGGCGAAATAACTAAAATAACTAAGGTGTATATATACACCTAGGCGCTCGACCTTAATGGTCGTTTTTATGCCGTAATGACGCTAAAGTCATCAAGACGCATAAAACGTCTGAGACGTCAAAGTCGACTGGTGTAAATTCAACGGGACGTATAAAAGTAGAAGACAGCAGTGAAAAAAAACCCGGATTTTTTCTTAAAAAAGACAAAACACTGACTCTTCCCCGTCATTTCTATAAGAGTTGGGCATAAATGCGTCCCAGTTTACGGTGTCCCATTTTTGCAGCTACTTCTCTTCTTAGAAGAGAAATAGCTATTATGTCATCGAGTGTGTCAGTCCGTAAGAGGTCCAATCTTCGGACTGTGTTCGGAACATTTATCGGTTTTATTTCGGATTATCGGTTTTATACGATCCCAAACTCGACGAAACTCTACCACGTCGACTATAGCCGAGGCTTATCTCGATGTTACTTATGACTACTTATGGATTGAAACGTTCCAGCGACGTTGCTTTCCTTCCATGTGCGAGTGAAGACTTTCGCGATTTCAGGTAAGAGGATTTGCTTACAATGTTTTGCTATTTTGCACCAGTAACCAGGCATAGCTTTCAAGCAATGTGCACGATGTTTTCTACAAAAAGACTTCTTTAGGTTGTTTGACGGTCAGCTCAGAATTTCTACCAGAAAACCCAACGTTGAACCGAGATGTTTGACTTCGTTGGGCGGCCATGATGGAGCGATTTGTGCAGCGAAACACCTCGAATTGGTCCACGTACATCATCTGGCGAACCCTTACACGGATTTGACTAACTTCCTTCGAGGAACCAAATATGTTTTTCGGGAAACCAATACTGTCATTCGAGACACAAATAACTCCCTTCGGGGAACCAAATATTTCCTTTGGCGTGCACGGTTATACAGGTTTTAATGATGCAGTGGAAAGCTATATTAGAAAAATAGACCACCCTGTACCTTTAACAGATAGGTCCATAGATGATTTAAAATTGTTGTTACTGAAAGCAGAGAAACAAGATATGATTGCAGACAAAACGGCAAAAATAATAGCTCGGTTTCTCAAAAAACGTACGCCTTTCTGTAAAGTAAATTTTCAACAAATTTTGTTCCATATCCTCACAAGAATTCCCAGAGAATCAAGTTGTTTAGTTAAGTTAGTTTTCATAAAGGGTCAAGTTCTTTTGTTAAGTTAGTTTTCATAGAGGATCAAGTTTTTATGTTAAGTTAGTTTCCATAGAAGATCAAGTTGTTATGTTAGGCTAGTTTCCATAGAGGATCAAGTTGTTTTGTTAACTTAGTTTTCATAAAGAATCAAGTTGTTTGGTTAAGCAATATTGTGGCAAATGTTAAATTGTATTTCAAGTTAAAGGAATATATGGTTCCACATGTTGAAACTGAAAAGAGCTCTTTCTAGGAAAAATACAATTCCATTTGCTGTTGGCAGATAGATCTATACCCATAGATTATTTTAAATTGTTACTACCAAAAGGAAAGAACTATTGTACTTTGTGTTAAAAAATAAAATGTTGGCCTTTCATCTTGTGGTGTTGGATCATTGACGTCATTCTCACTCACTCGCTAGCTATGGTGTAAATTTCTGTGTTAACATTTCCAGTGTTACCTTATATTTGATCAAGGGATTGTTATACCAAGAAACGGAGAGATGAGAGAATCTGCGAGAAAAGGGCCCCAGGACGAGGAAGCCCTTTGCTGCTCACTCGCGCGTTGTCTCGTCGTTCTTGCCTCACCGACTGTGAATACTCATTTAGATTTTTAAATCTAAAAACATATTACTTACAACACGTTAATTACTTACAATAGAGAGCTACATTCCTTACATAACATAAGTCAATCTTTGTAGATGCTTTAAAGTGAGGTGAAATTGATATACGGAGTTCCACAGGCTCGATAGTCATTTCAATCAATTTTTTCCTACTTGTCGTTTCGAAAAGATGAGAACTCTGCTGGCAGGGTACACTTTCATTGGTTTTTGCACTTCTGTATTTCCCACGGGTAACCTCATGTCCTCTCAGAGGCCTATTTTTAATTGGTTGAGAGACCAAACAATTAAGTTGCTTTCCTTTTAAGTTTGCTTTATTTCTGTTTTTTTTTTGTTTCCTTCCTACAGAAGTAGCTACATGTAGTCCTCGACTACCTATTTGTATACTAGACTTAACGTCTGAGACATTAAAGTTGTCTTGTGCGTCTGAACGACGCACTTAAAAGAAGACTCCTAAGTCGTCAGACGATAAATGCGCCTGTCTTATTTACCGTTTTTGTACTAGAGGTTAAAGTCGTCCTGAGACAACTAAGACGTCTCTAGCATAAAAACGGTCAATGACCCCCTCAGACGCAGTCAACATTGACGGTCTCGTGGAAGCAAAGCAACTCGTGTCCCCTTAAGGCCAGTCAGTCAAGAACTGCTTGTTGTTTGGTATTTGAGGAAAATACGGGATTACCCGTAGTCTAAAATTGGTCTGACGTTGGGCTGTACGTCTATCTTAGGTGTAAAATTCTACGCCCTTTGTTTGAATTTAAAGTGGTTTGGAGGCGTTCAAGTATATATCTATTTCCTTTCAGTCCACGTTATCCTCACTTTAAAATGGAACTAGATCCCCTTCCTCAGTTCAGGTAATTTAAATGCACCACTGTGTTCTTTTTCTTAAACAGCAGGTGATGTTAGGTAAAAGCTTTGTCCCATTCTCTCCTATCTTCACGGGAATGTCATAAGAATGACATGAAATGGTTGCCGGACGAGAAAGAACACCTCAAAATCCGTTTGTTATTTTCACTCAGAATACATGTAAAAATTCGTAAAAGTTAAAGTAGTCAATAAAAGAAGGAAGAAGGTAGTTACAAACTAGTATTCAAGGCTAGAACCCCTACGTCATATGATTTATAATCCACATCAGTTTCTAATACACCGTCGAGGCCTCGAGGCTGAGCTTGTTAGAAAATGCTAGGTAGCTAGCATAAGACTCGGTATTAATAATGGTGCTTACAGACGGAAGATCACTTCTGTACATATTAAACAACAACGGGCCAAGAATAATGCCATGCGATACTCCGTGCGTCATCTTTACTTCGACAAAAAACTTTTAAACCAGTAAAGAGCAGAGTATATAACAACAGTACGTTTTAGCTTCTCCAGTAAGACGACATGATTAATGCTGTCAAAGGCTTCGTTAAAACGCAACATTTAAAGCTACTTCAAGCTACAGGAAAAGAAAAGAAGTCGAAAGAAGGATTTGAGGTCACACCTCATATCTTCCGCACAAAAGGCTGCGCACTAACCAACTGCGCTAATCCTTCCTCCTTCAAGCTTGTATGTTTTGTTCTCCCAATAAAAATGAAAGTCTCAGGGCCATTTGGCCCGTTGTCTTTTCATAAATTACGTTCCAAATGGACGTAGGTAAGACGCAATTTGAAATAGTATTTCTCTAGAGTATTCTTATCACGTGACCTGCATTGGGAAAACAAAACGTACAAGCTAAAGAGATCTAGTAAAATCTAATCACCTACGAAGGCGCTCGGGCTGGAGTCACGCAATGCTCCCAGTCCCCACTCCCATGAGTGTGGTCGGGGAGCATTGCGTGACTCCGGCCCGAGCGCCTGCGTAAGTTATATTAAGTGGTAAATTAACACCCTTTGTTTTTGTCTTTGTTATACTCAATGATCCACCCACACTAAGCACCATCCCTTTGTTTAATTCAGCCTTGAAATATGCAAGCTTGATTTGCATTGGTAATTAATACCCTGGGGATTATGAAAATAAGACTATAATAATTATTAACAATTATTTCTCGAGCCGGAATACATACATACATACATACATACTTTTATAATTATTCCCCAGGGGGCTTCTCACTACTAAACAGCAAAGAACATTATAATAAAAAATGAATACAATTATAAAAAGCGGTCATTAAAATAATTCTCTAGCTTGTGCGTTTTCAACGTTTATTAAATGATGGCAAAGATAACTGTTTAAAGTGTTTGTCTTAATTTTTCCAAATGTAGACTGCTCTATGGAGGAAACGTCGCTGGCTTGACTTTGTCTTACTTGGAGGAATATCTAGGGATTCTCTGTTTCTAGTGTTATGATAGTGAATAGACTTGCGTCGTCGGAGAGACTCACACAAGTATGTGGGGGCCAGGCCTTTCATGCACCTAAACGTCATTACAGTCACGGCAAGAAAACCCTCATTTACCAATAATTTTACAAAACGGTAAATCCTAGAAAATTCGGCATTCACCATCTGTTTTCCCACTCCTGAAAACATCCCGAAAATTGCTAATTTTCCTTGTGTGAATCCAAGGAAAATTGGGAGTTAACTTGGCGT